CCACATCTTCGTCCTTTGGCCCAGACGTCTCCACGTGCCTCTTGTTTGCAGGTGCTGGAGGAGGATGTGTTACTTGGCATCGGATCGGCCGTCGGTGCAAGATCTCTCGTGGATTTGTCGCGGGGTCCTGGACTTGACTGCTGTTGGGCAACGGATCTTTAGACTCGAGTGGATCGCCTCGCAAACGCGACAGTTCGACCTCCACAGGCTTGGCCTTTCTGTGGGGCTAAAGGGGGACGGGGGGGGGCAGTGCCATGTTACCAATCCTTTTTCTGTTGAAAAGGCCAAATCACCATGGCTTTGCCCGTCCTGCGGTCTGGATGTTTCGAACCGTGGGAAATGGATCGAAAGGCCGACGGAAAGAGTCCAGGCCTTCTTGCATTCCAGAAAGCAAACCCGCCCGAGGTCCGAAAGTTGGGAGCTCGCTGATGGCTTTTCCCTGTTCCCAAGTGACCATGGGACAATGGATCACTTTCCAGTTTCGCACCTTGAGCTGGGATCTTCCTATCAGGGAATGTCGAAGCCGACCCCTTTTCAGGTCCCCTAATGGCTTTGGTTGGTTTCTTCGAGCGGTCCGCCGAAATTTCGTTTTGCTTTCCCGTTCTCCGTTTGGTTTGCCTTTAGAACTTAGAACCAGCCAAAAAGCGGTATCCTCAAGAACAGAGACCTTTGGGCTGGAAATGGACAAGTCCACAAGCCTTTGCCTGTTGCGATCAGGGCCAGTTGCTGGCCCATCCTTGATAATCCTTGTCTGAAACATCAGAGTCATCATAAGTCATAGTCATAATGTCAAAGCTGAGTCCCTCAATTAAGTACGAACAGTTGGAGGGGGTCTCATCAATACTTGTGTGATAAATGGCAGAAAATTTGTTTGCGGGGTCTGTAACAGAGCCGCGGCGGACATCACTTGCAGACCTCGTTACAGACCTCTGTAGCAAAACCCGCTGGCTCGTTACACACCCCTCGTTACACACCCCTCGTTACACATCCTCGTCACACACCTCAGATGAACCGCTCGGCTGGTTGCATGCCCCTCGTTGCATACCCCAATGCGTGCACAGACTCTCAGTGATTTTCCATGGGTGCTTGCAGAGCAGACTTTTGCAGAGCATGCTTTTTCTGAAGAGTCAGCTTGCAGAGAGCTATTCAGAAGAAGGGTTGAAACAGGGGCCGGAAGTTGAAACAGGGGCCGGAAGAAAACAACCTCTTCCCGCTATACTTCGTTTCATTACAGCATCACGACGTACCTCGCTACAGAGCCAACCCCAGCCCGGGCCATTGACCCCCCTTTTTGCCGTCGCTTGGCTTGCGTCGAGCAGTTGCAAATTTTGACAAGGCCCCCCTTACAGACTTCCGTAAGAAGATTCGTGGCGCGTCACGTGTCACATACCCTCAAAAAGAAGGGAAACCAATAGACATTGATCGCACCCAGTTCGACCTGCCCAGGTGTCTTCTCAATTTGTTGTTTGCCGGTCCCAAATGTGCCAGACTCTGAAAACATGTTCGTTTTGCTTGCAGATTGCCAAGAAAACCGTACCTTCAGGGAACCCATGGCAAACCGTGCTTTAACCTTGCACAAGTGGAAGGGGATATGGCCTCACCATGGTTTAACCTTTCAATCTTTGTAGCACCCTAGAATATGGGTCCGTTTGGTTTGCGGGGGCTCGGTGGCTTTGCAGGGAACCCAAAGGAGAACCGCCATTTTGGGGGGGTGCCATAAAAAGCGCACACACATATTCTAGAACACCGCGGCTTTTTTGGATCCACCCCGGTAGAATATGAAAGGAATATTTACATAATACCAAAAGAGTACTAAAAAGGGACCAACAAGGGGAGAACAAATCGGTGAAATCCACAAGAAGCCGTGAATCCAAATCCGTTTTCTAGACATTGTGACATATGGAAACATATCCCAGGCGCCGCCTCTTCGGCAAAGCCTTCTCGGTGGAGCTGCTGCAGAAGGAGGACGCCATGCGCGAGAACCTGGCTGCGCGCGGCGCCACACGCGGCTGAGCTCGATTGGTTCGGCGCAGGGCGCTGGTCCTCAGCCATCCCCATAGTTTTTTAGCTGCTAAAAGGGGATACCTTGGTGGTTTCCAGCCATCCCTCAGGTGTTTAGGTTTTTAGTGCTTGGTCGGGATTTCCATTAAACCCACTAAAAGTTACATTGTTAGCGGGGGATCTTAAGACGGCCCAGTATATGTTTTTGGGGGTTTTGAAGGGAACCTGGCATCTGAAGGGTCAAAAGCGCCACCCAAACTCATCCCAAGCACATTACCCAACCGCGCGGACAACCGACACCCTCAAAAGACGCCCCAAAGACATCCCGCAAGGCACCCCCAAAGACATAGACCCCGAATTATATCCCCCCAAAGACATCTCCGCAAGAAGCCTCGGAAGACATCCCCAAAGATATATTCAAAGACACTGGCAAGGACATCCCCAAAAATATCCTCCCCCAAGAACAACCCCCCAAAGACACCCCCCCAGCAACCCTCGGAAGAGACATCATCCAGCGCAACCGCAACGACAGCCCCAAAGACGCCCCCAATTCGCGCCCCCCAAAGACATTCCCCCAAGACGCCCTCGGATAACCTTCCCAAAGACATCACCCAGGACAGCCCAAAGACATCCCTAAACACAATTGCAAGAACATTCCCAAACACATCCCCGAAAGACACCTCCCAACGCCATCTCCAGAGACATCCTGGCGTGGGCGTGCAGGGGAGCATGGGTTTGAGCACACGGCTTGGAAAGCCGCCTAAACAAACATCTCTGGCCCATCCATTAAGGATGTGAGTTGATGGAAGCCAGAAGGGGACGTGAGCTGGGTCTCCCTTCTAGCTACTTTGGGCAACCTTGTGTTCTTTGCTTTAAGTTGGAGTTGTAGGCCTGAAGCAAACCAAGTCGGTAGGGGCGAATTTTGTGCGAGCAACCATTCCTTAGGTCCCCCCTGGAATAGAAGCAGCAAGAGCTTGTCTAAACAATGGTCACGACTCATTCTCGGCTATGGTTTGGTTTCTTCAAAAACTGGTTGTCCAAGCCCCTATTGTGAAGAATCACGAGTTCGGTTGGCACCCGCCAGTGCGCCCGGGCGAGGGGCCAAAAAAGAAAATGGATTGGGGGGTCCTTATTGGCCACACGGGGTGTCTCCCAATGGACATGAAAAGGCGTGTCTCAAAACAGGCGAGCCCGGAAACTTGCAATTTTCCGTTTGGTTTCCCTCCAAAAACAGCAAAGGAAAGCCCCTTTTTTTGGGAGTGGTTACTTTCGCGCACCTGGCACGAAGAAGTTGCCCCCATGGTAGGGACACCCTCAGGAATCTCAAACGGTTTGAAAACCAAGCCCGGAAGCATTCGAAGGGAACATGTGCATGCCATCTGAGACCCAGACACACAGTGCCCTTGGTCCTGTGTTTTGCGGGGAGGGGGGGGGATCCGATCTGAGGCTTTAAGGAGGCGGTGTATCTCCTTACCAAGCACTGAGAGATGGGAGTTTCTCAAAGTGGGAAACTCACAAAGGTCCGTTTTGGTTGGTATGCCAAGGGAGAGAAAAAGGAAGCGAAGGAAGCGCTTGCCATTTTGGGTGGACTGATCCCTGTTGTTTGTTGTTGGTTGACCCCCTGAAAAGTCGTTTGTCGACAAGATGGGGGTTGGAGGAGTTAGCTGGTTGTCTCGTGTTAGAAATATGGCCCAAAGGGTGCCTTCAAAGGGGCACCTGACAGGCGGTTGCGCGCTGAACTCTTGCAATGTTGGTTTTCCGTGGGTAATCCATTTCCGGGAGGTTTGGGAATGAACCTATGATCCACACAAGAGGGTACCAGAGAACCATCAAGTAGTCTCAGTTCAATCCAAAAACAAAGAAAGGCCCTTCGGAGCCCTGAAGTTGACATGGTAAGTGGAGGTTTCAAGGTGGTAACCGAACGGATCGGGGGGGGCAAAAACCCGAGCCTTTGAAGCTCCAATCGCTTCAACCGCTTTCCGGCCATGGATTCAGAGATGAGGGGGTCCCCCCCCATGGGGTGGAGACCTACAACGGCTGTTGGTTTCCTTTTGGATAAACCAAACAAATGGCTCACAATCAAAATGTGGGCTTAAAATGGTTGACCCAGAACCATGTAAGGAAATACAAAGGCGGAGATTCGCTGCTGTTTCTGGCTGGGATTGTCCCTTACTAACCTTCATCTACCCGGGTTTTGATTGTGGCTCAATTGTTGGGTCCAAGACGGCTGTCAGCATAGTTGCCAAGCGCGCGGGCAACAATGGCTTAATCACAGATGCCTAGAGCTGTAACCTATGTACCCGGAAGGGTTGGGCCAAACATTTTGTACCTGAGGGTCACGAAAGGTTGTTGGTGAAAATCATGCGGGGCAACCAAGAATCAATGTACCCCAGCTTGCCTGAGGGATGCGAGAGGCGAAGAGACGAACATCAATGCACTATTTCTCGGAGAGTACATTAATTTTCACTGGTTGCTCGGTCTCCGACAGTCTCAGGCACTTTGTGCACTGATTCTCAGACCCGAAAAAAAACAAATCTTTCAATTGTCTTATTTGTCGGGGAGTGCATGAAAATGTCCCTAAAGCTGGCAGCCTGAAACTTGGCGTTCCCTTGGCAGGTTCCTTGGAGCATTGGTAGATTCCCCTTCCAAAAGGGGTGTCCCGCAGAATTGGTAGACCTCCACCTCCAAATCACAGATGGCAGGTTTCAATCACGTCCAATATTTGAGTTTTTGGACCTGAGTTCGCACTTTGTTGCCCCAGTTTAGTGATGGTCACTTGCTTTGGCCGAACCTCTCGATCGAAAGAAAATAGCGGATCTGAGTTTAATTCAGGAGGAATCCTTCACTTTTTGGGGACCTCAGTTGACATGTTTCTCAATGGACAAAAGCAACCAAAGTAAAGAAGAGCTGACAAGACCATGTTTTTGCGGTCCAACCGGTTTTCTTTTTGACACCCCCGGCTTTCTCTCGGCCAAAAACGCCACCGCCTTCGGCTCCAGTCGCACTGCGGGGACCTGCTACCCTGCCGCGCCGGCATCGCCTGGGGCGGCTGCGCGCTCGGCTTCGGTCGTCTCGACACGTTGGTCGTGGGGTGCGATCCCTTGCAACTTTTCTTCTTTGGAGGGGGGTGGGCCCCTCAAAAACCTAGCCATTTCTCAAATTTGGGGTGGTTTTTGTTTTGTTCTTTTGCCTTCCCCATGCTCAGCGTGGGTCAACTTGTTTTTGTTCCGTTTGCGGGGTGGGCCCCTCAAAGCTCAGTGGTGCCCGGCCAGCCGGTTCCTTCGGGTTTTTGGCTTAGCGTTTAGTCGTTGCTCTTCTGTATTGAACCCCTTAAGTCACAAAAAGTGCGTCCCTTTTAGCGGGGGATCTGAAAACGGACCGCCCAGCAAGCCATGCCAAACTTTGGGTGCCCCTTTCTTCCTCCGGGGTAATACCTAGGCCCAGGGGTCTCCCACGATTTGAGGCAAAACTCACGGTGCTTCCGTGGGATCTGAGTTGCTCGCGCTGTTGCCGGTCCGTTTGGCTCGACATTCTGGGGTTACTGGGTGGAATGTGGACGTATGATGTACCCATGGGCTCAGCGGTTGCCTTTTTGGTTCCACCTTGAGCCTTTAACCTTTTGGTTGCGGTAGAACCGGATATTTTGGGCGGGGGTCTCAAAGTTATCCAAATCCTTCAGCTCCTACCCTGGTTCAAAGGACACCTACTCACAAGTTGGGCAGAAATCCCCAGTCCCCCAGCGAAATGATGTCCTTCAAAGGTTCCCAAAAGAAAAAAATGCCCCGAAACCCTGGCCCGGAGCCCACTCCGGAGCCTGTTTGGGAGAAGCTTTCAGCTGAAAGAATCAGAATCACATCCTTTGGTACCTTTGAATCCACCCCAAAAAGGGATAGCCTCAAAAGGAGCCCTTTTTGACTCAGCCCCAAAACGGATACCTGGACCAACCAGAAGGGAAATCCTCCGACTTGTGTTTGGCAATATAAATTCCTTTTTTTCCTGGGGGGGGGGTTGAGGATCCAGGTAGCCTCTCAAAAAAAGGGAGCCCTAAAATTTGAATCACCTCGGGTCCCGGACCCCCGGAGCCCTGCCGAGGCAAGCCCTTCAAGCTGAGCTTCTGCATCCACTCCCTCGTGCTCGAGGGCGCGGGATCTATATTTTGTGCGCGGGTGTCAGGACCGTCTCGACGGAATCCGTTGATAGGAGTTGAATTGGGCAAGGGGCTGACTGGTAACCCCGTTTCCCAGAAATCAACGTGGGAGTGGGACCCTCCTCTTTGAGGTAGAGGAGATGTTGTGGGTTACGAACATGTCAGCTTGTGAGAATTGTCACACTTTGGTGGAGTACCCCGCAACCCCATTCTAAGTCTGAAAGACCTACCTGTCAAGGGGAGGGGGCGAGAACATGCCGGAGAGAGTCTCCAATGAATCAACTTCCCCAAAAAAACGCTTTGCAGGTTGGAATGTCCCTTTGGGGCCTCCCTTTTTTGGGGTTCTATTTTATGCAGGGGAGTGCTTTCATCTTTTTTATCCTTTCCACGCCACCCAGATCTTTTCCCGGAGGAAGGAGATGTGGCAAGTGCGGTTGTCGCAGAGTTCGACTTTTCACGACCCCCCTGAAACAGGGGCTACTTCTAGGGTGTCCATGACCCTGCAAAAATGGGTCCTTGACCCCTTAATTTTGGGTAATGACCCCATTTGTTAAGGGTCATGGAACTTTTAGGGTGTCCCTTTCATTCTCCCTTTCGGCCAACAGGCACACCCCAGGCTTGTTGATTGCAGGTGAGGAGTCCGGGTCCTCCAGCAAGCCATTCGTCATTGCCCGGCGCTCAGCGCCGTGTTGGACCTCGGATCTCTCTGCGGTTTCAAGCGCGTGACAAGAACGTGGGGGTCCTATAGTGGGCGTGTCTAAAAAAACAACATCCAAAATGCGTATTTTTTGTCCCATGGTTTCTCTTCAAGTCAGCCCCGAAAAGGGCAACCGACCCACCCATATGTCTCAAAATTAGGGTACCCACAGCTACTTGGTCTCCTTTTTATTTGCCTTCAAACCACCAAACCCGGGTTAGGCGCCTCCATAGAAGTAACGGACAATGCTAAGAAATCGGTTTTTGGTAGGCCATCAATTTTACAAGCTGGTAAGTACCGGTTTTGGGTAGGTCTCCAATCACCTACAAGCTGGGCTTTGGCTCAACCAATGTACCATGGCACCTTGGTATATGGAAACAAAGACTAAAACCTACGTAACCCCCGCTAAGTGGAGTTTGTCCATCAGTATGTCCGGGGGGCAAGTTGAACATCACCACTGCAAATGTTAGATCAATTCTCCTTGGGTGATGCTTGGTGGTTTTACTTGTTTTCTGCAAGCCCCAAGCGCCAACCATTACGCTCAACCGCGGAAGGAAGCTAAGAAGTGCTCATGAACTTCTCACCTGTTTGCATGTTTTTTGGTGGAACAAACGTTTGGCCACCAGCGGGGGGATTGACTGCCCTTTGACCAGTTGATTGATTGTGTCCAGGCGGAAGTGCGGCTTAAAGGAGGAAAGTAAGACCTATGCTCAAGCAAGTGGAAGTCAGGGTGTCGGAATGTGATGAAAATCCGCCAAGAGCGCGGATGAACTGTTCGAGCCTGCACTGTGATAAAGAAGCTTAGCAGCTACCCTCCCATCCACCGCAAATAATGACCCGTTTAATTGGAAGAACCTGGAAGACAATTCACGGATGAACAACTTGCCAGCAAACAGCCTGAGTGTAATAGACATTTCACGGATGAAACTCGTGCTCGGCTTCGCCACGAGGTCAACACCGTCAGCAAGTCCAAGCAGACGGAGCTGGGTGACTGGACCCAGGACTGCTCTGGGATTGCAAGCGCCGCCGAGCGCCGCCACTCGCTGGCCCCCGTTTTGGGGCCGTCTGCGTGGTTTCGAGGGTATACTCCTGTTTGGGTGGTTTCTAAAGGGAAACCAAAAGGATACCACGCATTTTCGGTTGACCTGTTTTCACACCTGCCCAGAATTGGCTGTTTCATGAAACCTAGGGTGATCGACCTTTGCAACCCGATGGTTGTGCTTTGGGGCCGCTGGTTGTGATAGTGAACTTGTGTTAATTTGATAAAGTAGCCACCCTCCCTCCCGCTGGCTGACACAGGGCCTGTTTACAACCACTGTTGCCACATTCCCAAACCAAAAAATCCTGTAAGCCTCTCTTCAACCCGATGGTTTCATGGGATGACACGGCCCGTTTGCGAAACTATTGGCGGACCAGAACCAGCCGTCGGGTCCTTAGGTTTTTTAGATATTTAGTTGGTTAAGCGGGGGTTTCCGTTTAACCTACTTAAAGTTAAACTTTTAGCAGGGGATCCGAAAACGGACAGCCAAGTTGAGTAGGTTGTCCTACCTTGTCGGGGCAGTAAAACATACAAAAGGCTTATGTCCATCTTACTGGAGCCCAACGTTTGTTCAGAAGCTTGAATCAGGAGGATTCCAGATGGAGCTTCCGAGAAGTCCTCACCATGGAGGCGAGTTGGGCCTTGGAGAATCCAATGTGGCTGTGGGTCAAAAATGGGTATCCATTTTGGAACCCTAGCAAGGACTAAAACCTGCGGTCCCCCCCGGTGCTTAAATTTTGACCCATACCCATGTGATGTGGCAGTGAACTCTTTTGAGGGGTCTGTAACAGAGCCGCGTTCGTTACAGACCTCGTTACAGACCTCTGCAACGAAACCAGCTGGCTCGTTACACACCCCTCGTTACACACCCTCGTTGCGCACCCTCGTTACGCGCCCTCGTTACACACGCTTTGCTTTGCCTTGTTACAGACCTTGTTACATAGCCGTTACATACCTCGTTACAGACCCAACCCCAGCCCGGGCCAGCGACCCCGTTTTTTGCCACAGCTTGGCCTGCGTTGAATAGAGCTGCGGAGGCGTGCTTTGCGTGCTGCGCTTTGCTTTGCCTCGTTACAGACCTCGTTACACAGCCGTTGCATACCTCGTTACAGACCCAACCCCAGCTTGGGCCAGCGACCCCCTTTTTGCCGCAGCTGTGCTACTGATACCGATACTTGTCATGAAATGTTTGTCCCGTTTCACACCTGCGTAACAAGGACCTCCGCTACAGACCTCCGTAACAAGATTCGTGGCGCGTCGCGCGTTACAGACCCCTAAAAACATCAGCCATGTCTCGATGACTTTTCCCTGAGCTCAAACCATTGGGTCCCCCAGCTAGGTCCTATCTCACCCGTTTCTTTGTTGGTTGGGAGGTTTCCCCTACTAAAATAGACGACAGAAAAAAGGGTACCCTTAGTCTAACCTCTCTGCGGGTATTTGTATAAGTCACCCACCTCAAACAAGGCCCCGACCAAATCGTGATTGCTGGCCCTCTCGCAAGCCCAAAAACCTATGGAGGTTGTGTTTTGGTCATGCCAGATCCTGGTGAGTTCGCTTAGAACCATAGGCCGACACGGTTGGACACATTTCCGGACCCCCTTCCCATCTGGAAGTCTGCCGTGCCAAAGTAAATGGCAAAACTGGTTGGGCAAGTTTCTATCCTTCCCCAGAATTAGTTCCCCTTTTTTGTGTTTTTTTTTTGGGGGTTCCTTATTATTTCCACTAACCAGGAAAACAAAAATATTGTTTTGCTGGGGTCCCTTTTTCCAGCCACTTTCCGGGCCGCGAGGTGAGTAGCACGTAGTGGGGTACTTCGAAGCACAGTTGAGTCATGATCATAGGAGCATCATGCGGATTCTGCGAAAGGAACCACAAAACACATGCCAATTTGGATGGTGGATTCTCATAACCTGTGTAATTATGGCAAGCTCCTAAAATTGTCACCTCCAGGGGTCGTTCCATTTCTCATTCCCTGCATCTCTCGCACCAGCAAGAAAAGGGGAGCGTCCCCAATTTCAAAATCAACCAGTTCGGGGTTCCCATCAGCGCAAAAAAACAAGTTTAGTGATAAACTCAAAGTTGAGTTCGGAAACTTTTGCTGGAATCCAGTCGATCGGAAGTGAGACCTGGAAGCCTGTTAGGTTTCTCCGGACGAGGAGGTGAGCATTTCCGCCTGCTGCCACTCAGCTGAAAACGGGTCGCTACTTGGTGTCGGTTGTACGCGTGGATTGAATCACTGGCTCTTAGTAGTACGGAGCCAAAAGAGGGGTGCGTTGCTGACCTTGCATACAGCAGTGTAAACTCTGATTTGTCTTTAGTTGTGGCAGAGGCAGAAAGTCTACAGCAAATATATACAAACGCATGTGGGTGGAACCAACCTGCAGGGAATTGAACATCCACGGGTTTTCGAAGCAACCTTCCCCTTGAAACCACCATCCAGAGGGTATTTTTGGATGGTGTCACTGTGGTCCCAGTTTTACGGCCATAGGTTTTGAAACAAATCGGGGGCAGAGGGTGAAACAGCTTGCAGACTTGGCGAGTGGTTGGATCTGGCGATGCGCAAGCGGCCTCTCTGGGGCAAAGCTGACTTCGTAATTCCTCACTTATTCAAGACACTGGCTGGATTCCGAGTGGCATATGATCATGTGTTACTTTTAGCCTTCACGCCATACTGTGGATGGACGGAATCCTGCATCACTTGGACAGCATGGGAAGCCATTGTTCGTTGGGCAATTTGTACCACGGAAATCGCATCAGAGAGTTCCAGGGTTTCTGAACGGCGGTGCTAAAAAAAGGGTACTTCAAGGGAATGGGCTCCTTGGGTTTCTGCACGGTGCCAAGAACCGATGTCGCTCCCCGCCGCTCTCCTTGCCACGCCTTCCATGCGACCAACGGCGGCGGGCGAGGCCATCAGCAGCTGGACCTGCTGGTGGCGGCCTTCTCCTTGGCGGCCAGATCCGCGCCCTGGACTCCGCGGTTTGAAGGGACGAAGGGCTGGAGCTGAGCTCGCGGTTTGAAGGGACCCGGCCCGAAATGCTTAGGGACTTGGGAAGAATCGGTTTTCCCGCTGGTTTTGTGGTGTTTTTCTCGAAGATTTGGGACTCCCCAAGATGTTTTTGGACTGAAGCCAAGATGTTTGGACTTGAGGGGTAGTGGACGAATCGTCTAAGAACAATTTGTTGGCAAACTGTTTCCAGTTTCCAAGTCCAAAGGGCACTCTTTTGGTTCAAAGAGTTCGGTTTTTGTGGCGGGCGCCTACTTGGGGCCTGCGATCTGATGGCTCTCTTGGAGTTGGTACGCTGGTTGGGGTGGTTGAAAGGAACACTTGGGACAGCCACCTTGTTCGCGTCGTCATAGGAGTGCTGGTTTATGTTCACTAAAATGGGTGGAGCATGGGTAGCTTTTCCCGTGTGGTTGAACTATCACAGTATGTCCGTATGTTTCCAAACCAATGGTCATTCCATGTTACCGCTTCTTTTGATCAACCGCCACTTGTTACGGTTAGTAGACTCAGGCTGTTTACTGGCAACTTGTTCATCCGTGAATTGTCTTCCAGGTTCTTCCAATTAGGTTGTTATGTATGGGAGGGTAGCTGCTAAGTGTCTTTATCATAGTGCAGACTCGAACGCTTCATCCGCATTTTTGGCGGATGAAGTCACATTCCGACACCCTGACTTCCACTTGCGTAAGAATATGTCTTATTTCCCCCTGTTGGCTTTGAAGGGAATCTATGACTACTGGATGTGTTTTATATTTTGTCCAGGGGGCTCTACTGCAAAGGGATGTAGCCTTGGGTTTTGTGTGTTTGGTTCACCCGTCTCTTGAGAAGTTTCCGATCGACCTTTCTTTTTCCACACATCAACCTAACGCAGTCCGCCCCACTCTGCGTTTTCCTCTTAGAGGTGCGCCCTACTCCAGATACCCTGCATATGTTGGCAACATGTGTTTTTGTTTTCCTGTAAATGCCTCTTTTTTTAGTTCGGGGGTTGTCATACCCGAAAGTGGGCCTTGGGGGCCAATGGGTTTGGACTCGGTTCCTGGTGATGTTTCCGGTTCCCGCTGGTTTCGAAGGACGTGGGCTTGTGCGTGTGTGATGTTTGAGTACCTCGTTGCGTGGAAAAAGGGAGCGCAAAGTGTAGCACTTTATGGGAGTCCGCAATTTTGACGCATAGCCAATGACCATGTCTAGCGTGGCTTAAGTCACTGCCGTGTCCCTTCAACCCGTGTACCTTGAACTAGCGGACCGCTTCCCTGACATGGTCCTGATGCGGTGGATAAACCAGATTCAAGTGAACCAGGATTAGGTCGGTCAACAGGTCCCAGAATGGCTCTCAGAACCTTTCCAAGAACCCCTAAGAATGAACCTTGGAAACCAGCCAGCCCCGTCCGGCCATCTGGTGCGAGGTGGGGGAGGTGTGCGTGCCGGTGGCTTCTGTCCGAGCACCCAGCCACCCATCGGGTGCCAAACAAATCCGAGGTGTCCAGGTGCTCCGTGTGGGGGTTGATCACTACTCCCAATTTTTGTCCATGGGCAACTTTTCAACCCCCAGAGTCCTTTTTCCTTTGGGGAAAGGTTCCCTTGAAACTCAACCAACCCAAACAAAAATAAACATATTTGTCCATGGCCACTGGGCATTTTTTTAAACCATGTGCTTGAAACACATCAATCATCCTGCTTTTGATCGGTTTCCCATCCAATGGGCTGACTCGAGCTTCCCCCGCCCGACTGCACAAAACCCCAGGAAGAGGGCGTGTCTGAATGTAGCTGCCCATGGCAGTTTACTCGGTTTTCCCCGTTGGTTTGGAAGCTATAAGTGCCCGCGGCGAAAGGGAAGCCTCAAGACAAACGGCAGACCCTCCTTACCATCTTCCTGAAATGGGGCAGGGAGTCTCCTTAGCAAGCGGGGTTGTCTTTGAAGTGCAGCGCCTGCAAACGACTTTTTGGGGCTGGGGTTGAGTTGGGGTGCGTTTGTTGCACGCTGGAACATGGAAATGGAATGTGTTCACACATAGAGTCATTGAGGTGCACTCAAACTACCCATAAAAACATGGATTTTACCCGCAAACCAATGGTTGGTGACTTGGGCCTTTTGCATTTTTTTGGTTTACCCCCAAACATGGGGTGGTGGTTTGCCTTAGGCTCCAGGTCGGTGACTTGTTTCTTCGAGAAAGGCGCCCAGCTCTCGCGGCTGAGGTGCTTCCGCAGCTTCAGGTGGCCAGAGCCCCAAGACGAGCCCATCTCCGTGGGTGCAGAAATCAAACATGAAACACATATGAGGTGTCCGTTCTTTCCCTCCGTTTTTCGTCGTTTGTTTTTGGTTCTTCTTTGTTTCTTGTATTTCTAGGTTTTTCTGTGTTGTTAGTAATGTGTTTTCCTCCTTCTTCTTTGTGGGGTGGGGGGCGGTGCGCCTTTCAGGGTGAAGAAGGGGTGCTCCTTTCCGGGGTTCTCTCGGCGTTTCGCCTTTTTAGCCTCTGGGTATTTCGCCCTGCACCAAAAGAAGGGCAGGGTAGGGGGCGGGGGCATTTTGAAATGCGAAGAACAGAACATGGGGTGTTCGGGGTTGCTTGAAGGATGTGGGCCAGTCGAACAAAATACGTTTGCAAGCTGATTTGGAGGATCCGTCCATATGCATCCTTTTCTGGACATGGATTCCTTGAACTGATGTTGGAAGGTTGGAAGTCTAGCTACTGCAACTTGATTCAGCCTCGGAGAAAAACACAAAACAAGAACAGAACCAAGCGCATAACCCAGAATCAAAACCCGGGTAGATGAAGGTTAGTAAGGGACAATCCCAACCAGAAGTAGCTGCGGATATCCGCCTTTTTAATTCTTCATATGGTTCTGGGTCGACCATTTTAGTACCGTGATTATGACTCACATAACCCAGACTCCATATTTGTTGGAGGGGGTGTTGCCTGGAACATCGACTTTTTAGGTCGGGTGCCATGTCGACCCCATGGCACTGGGGATCTGGGATCAGGATCATTGAGAAGCAGAAGGCTCAGAATTTGAGACACGCGCCAGGGAATCGCAGTATCATCCGCGAGTTTTCTGGACTTTTTTTTTTTTGGCGGGGTTGGTTTCCAAGTTGGTGGCAAGAACAAGAACCCAAATTGGCAAACATCTCTTTCCAACCGCTGGGAAGGGTGCCAACCCGACAAGGAACTGCAAGCCGCTAGGTGTTTGGGGAAAACTTTCCCTCCCAGTTGTACCAGTTGTACCTGGCACATGGTTCGTGAGCTGGACGAGATCGAAACCAATCTCGAGACGGCCAAAGCATCGGGACGAAGCATCGGGGCGGATGGCACTGATCCGCATCCAGACTGAGCACGTCGCTGCCCTTCCCAGTTGTTTGTTGGCTGCACCCCGATGGTCAGCTTTTTGATTTTGGGAGGGGTGTTTCCAGGCCCCGGTTTCGGCTAGGATTTTGGGAGGGTCCAGTCTCCCATCTTGTTTGAACATCGTCAGCTATTGGTCCTGTTTCGCACTCTTCAGACGGTCGATGTTCAAACAAGATAGGAGACATTGGCTGTTTGATGGGGACAGGGGTGTCCCGTTTCGGACCATTGTTCTTCCACCCACGTTGCGCGCTTCTTCAGATAGAGATTTTGAGAAGTGTTCAGTCCAATATACTCCCTGCATGCCAAAGTTCTGACGGCACTCGCAGTGGCTTTGCCTTCAAATGGGGATGGGAGAATGGGGCCTGGTTTCTCCTTGATTTCCCGTTACCCAAATGTGGGGGCTCCTCCAAAACCATCGTCAGCGTCTAGTGGCTGGGAGGGTACCAATTCCAAGGAACCAGGGGTTCAAAATCGATCATTTTATCATGCCAGATGGCAGTGACGTCCTTTGTGGTGTCGAACTAATGCCCCCCTTTTGAACCCAGTTTCAGATGGTGTTTGCCTGAAGAAAACATGCCCATACACTTACTTGGCTATGCATTTTCGTGGAGAACCACCTCAAAAGTGGTTGACCTGAACCCCCACCTAAATGAGGTGAGCAACCGTCCTCCTCTCAGAACTCACACCCCCCAAGTCTTCCCCATTCCAGGGGTCACTCCCATTCCAGGGGTTGGGGGGTGTTCCCCATTCCATGAAAGGAACATGGGTTGCCATAAATGGAGATCTCCAGTCGAAATCCGATAATCCTCCCTCCCCTAATTCCATATTCTTGGGGCTGGGGATTGCCCCATGCTTTCCGACGAGAGGATTTGTTTCTGTTCTGAAGCGGACAGGGCCCCCCTCCTCCTCCATGGATTTTTCAACAAGCGCCGAGGAGGACCGGGACATCGAGGGCGTGGTATACGTCTCCTTGCCGCGCTTCTGGTGACGCCCAAGTTTTGCCCCAGAAGTGGCGAGTTGTTCCAAGAAGCCAAGAGGTTGGTGGATATGTTTCATGGTTTTCTTTGTGCCAAGACCCTCTATTTAACGAAAGGCGATGTGCAAGTTGGGGTTCTTCGAGATGATTATGTTTTTTTCGTTCATTTTTGGGCAGTCTCTCACGCCCTTCAAGATGGTGACATGGCTTGTTTTGCTTCTTGTTTTATTGCCAGATATGGCTTACCTCTTTTCGATGGGTGTCAAGGAAAACCAAAAGCAATGTTGACCCTTTTTGGGGGTCCCTTTTTGCTTTACCTTTTGACATAGCTGGCCTCTTTTGAGTTTTGCCTTTTTGGTGCTCCTCCATCTTCCCAACTTAACGTGTTGCAAGGGGGCGAAAACGTTCGCACATTTTGCTGTCCTAAACGCTTCTTTAAGCCAGACTCAGATATACTGCCGCCACTTTGTTTCCAGTTTTAAAAAAGGGTATATAGCCACCGTCTTGCTTTGGGGGTACAACTTTTCGTTTGGTCTTCTTGTTCCAACTTGTGTTTTACTCAGTTGCTCAGTGGTTTTCCCTGTTCCCCTTTTTTAATTGCTTTTTGCCAACGTTTCGTTTGGTCTTCCAAAAAAAGGTCAAATGCCCACGCGGCTTTTCTTTAAGGGCCGATAGCGACCTTTTGCTCGTTTGGGGGCGGGCTTGGGGCAACCCATGTAATGCTTACGCCGACGATGGAGTTGTTTCGGGTGTTGAGTGGGTTTGTAGGTGGTTGGCGACCAAAAGGAAACCATTTCTTGGGTGGCTGGGGTTTCTTCTTAGCGGGGCCTTGTTGTTCTTGGAAGGGGGGAGTTCTGGCGTGTGTGTGTGTGTGTGCCAAGATTGGAGAGTCAGTTTGCGGCCATTGGGTGTTGAGTGGGCGCAAAATTCTGTAGTTGGCCAGTAGGTGTTGAGTTGCTTAGGTGGGGGAGCCAACCTTTGAGGTTTGGCTTTGGATGCACTTGCCTTGTAGGCCAAGCTTTTTGCTTTCCTTTTTGGCTTGGCCACGTACAGGTCCCAAAGGGTGGAAAGGGGAAGAACCCTTCTGTGATACCGGTTGGAACCTTCCCGTTAAATGGAGGATTCGTGATTTGGAAGGTCTGACATTGCAATTCCCACAACCCTGTCCCAAAAGATGATCAATGCTTTTATTTCTAGGTCCTTTAAAGCAAGTGAGTTTGTCTACGCTCTGCTTGGAGTGGGGAAATTCAGGGGACCCGGACACGGTTTCTATCGAAAAACGAATTAGTTCCCACTAGGAGAATGCATCCTAGAACCATTTCTCAAAGAGCCCACTTCAGAGGGTCCCAAAAGGTACCCAGACTCGGAGGTTCGTCAGACTCGGGGGTTGCTCAGACTCGGAGCCTTTGGGTCCCCTTGGCTTCAAGATTCGAATCGGATTCCAGGTGACGCCAAATATCGGCTTCGACCTCCTCAAGGATGGAGTCAAGACAGGCGGATTGGCCGCGCGACTTTCTGCTGGGGGCCGACTGACCGGATGGGCGTTGAATCCCTTGCAACCCATTTTTTGTTAAAACACCTTCTGCGTTTTCTCCAGAATTATGGTAGGGAATCCAGTCGGAACCCTTTGACCCTTTGAACAACCAGAAAATGGCTGGTGAGTGATTGCCCAGGATCCACGTAGATGTTCCACCCCCACACCACTAGGCGTTCAATGGGCTATGATACAGCTATTGGGTTTGGATCTTTAGACTTCAACGTTTTGGGAAATAAAGGTGTTTCCCACTAAACCCCCAAAAAGTTAAACACTTTTTGCAGGGGGGGTCGTTACAGCAACCAAGAACCATGTCCAAAATCCCCAGTACGGCAACCAAAACGCGGTGGTTGGTTGGGACCTGGGTGCCGGACATGGACAAGAAGTTTGTTTGGACGCCTCTTGGCTCAGATTTCAGGCAAGCCTTAGTTGGTGGTTTGGATTGGGGTCCCTGGTTTTTGTAGAGGGTAAATGGGAGAGCCCCCTCCATTTCACCACCAAGCCAATGCAAACCACCAACTAGGGGGAAGTGGTTTGGGATTTGAACCTCTGGCTTTTCCCCTTGACCACCAAACCACCGATCCAAGCCACCAACTCGAGTGGAATTGGACTTCGGAGGCCGTGTCTACCTCGCCTTCGAGACCAAGCACCCCGTCCGCAGCGCGCTGCCTGCCGAGACCTGGCGCGCAACCTGGGCGAACTGGGCGAACTGGTGAGGTCCTTTGACGGAGGTAGGGTGACCAAAACTTACTTGACTGTGATTGTCAAACCGTTTTGGGATCCCATTTTGGTTGGTAGGTGAATTCACCACCCATTGTAGAACCTATTTTAGTGTGTTCGCTGGGGGTACGGGATTTTGACCTATGGCCACTTAGTTCATGAAACAACGTCTGGGGGTTGGACCAGTTTAGTGGAAAGCAACAAGTATTGAAACCCGAGGACCCTTCTTTTGGGCCCACTCTACCGGAAGGGAGAAACTGGGGTCTGTGTGTTTTGGGCTAAGCCGGGCCTCTTGTTGGGTTTAATATTGAAAGGGAAACCCGAAGAAAAAGCCGCGTGATGGGAAGGGCCCCTCTTTTGGGCTTGGTTTAGAGGAAACCCACAAGCAAACCCCCCCAAAAAAATGGGGAGGGCCCCTACTTGGAGAACATACCCATTGCAAGAGGCTTGGCCTCCCATCATCCAGGAGGTTTAGGGGAAACACCCCAAGACGTATTCTTCAAGGAACAGCCCTCGTTCTGGGCTACGCGGCACCCTCTACGTGCTGTGTACGATGGTTTGGTACCGAGGATGGTGAGCCCCAAAACGCGCTCCCTTGTTCTACCAGGGTCAACTCAGAGTGCTGATTTTGACTGGGCTTAGGTAGATGGCACAACTTCCAAGATCTTTGTGAGTAACGAGGAGAACTAAACCCACATGGGGGGAATTGTGTCATCTACTTTCACTCGTGTATCAAAGTCAGAGGTTGGTTCTCTTTAGCCCCCCGCTTGGCTGACTTAGAAGGACAAACTCCTTGATCCGCGAAAAAAGAGAAAGAGACCACAAGGTGGTTGCCTAGCCTCCCTCCCTGAGGTACTGAACTTTAGTCATCTTTTCAATTCTGACTATAGTGGCGAGCCAAATGTTCCTGGGGTGTTTTTCCACACGCACTCAGGGCAACGAGTTTTTCTGTGGTTTCCCTTGAAGAATTCCTCGAGTTTGTGACAGACCCTTATTCCAGATGGGGGTGCACGCTGATTTTGTCTTTTGTTTTTTCTTGTCCCACTGCGTATTACGTATCGGGATTTGGGATGTGCAGCCCATATGGCTATGTTCAATGGAGAACTACCTCCATGCTTGGTGAACATTCCCCACCTAGATGATGTCCACCAAAGGGTCCCCCGTCAAAATTTACACCCATATTGACCCTCCCGTCCACTAACGGAACCTACCGGAGGGTCCCTTCTAAAGGAACATCGGCTTCCACGACCCCTCAGGCAGGTTCCATTTGAGTGTAGCCAATTTATAGGGGGATGAGGCTTGCAACCATTTGCCCCTTATATTCGGGTCGGGCTTGGCTCAACGCCGGCCCTCAGCCCTCAGCCCTCAGCCCCACCCTTTTCGGACCGCGGCGTATCAGCATTTGGTTCAGGTAGACCTTTCCCCCCTCTAGATGTACCCTCCCCATTCGTTCCAGGGATCTGTTTTTGTTCTAGAAAACCCAGAGAAAACGGCGGGTTTTTGAAAAGAACGATGGTTGAAAAGAATGGACCAGGAATGAACCCCTAGACCCTTGCCCGGATATCCACTCCTGGTTGCTTCAACAACACCTGGTGTTTTGTTTCTCAAACCCAGTGGTAAAAAACAAAGAAGCAACTCGAATCCGGAAAGCAGAAGGCTTCGACCCTCGAGTCAGGGTCGAAGACTCAAATGGAAGGGGGGCATTGGCCGCGAGAACAACGGCTCTGGTTCCATCGCCGGGAAATCACAAAGTGTGGTTCTGCATAATCGCGAACATGCAAGGAACCTGAACTGACTTGTCCAAAAGCCCAACTTTGAAATGGGTGAACTGTTTGTTGTCGTTTGTGTTTAGTGCTGGCTGGAACCAACATGAAAAACAAACTGTTAATTCTGGGATTTAAAGCAGGAGGTGAATGAGCATCCCTGCAAGATAGTTTACTCGTATCCAAGTTTCCTGCACAGGTTCCAGGCTTGCTTTGGCCCTTGTCCTGATTAAATGGTGCAAAGGATTGGACTAGGCAAGATGTTCCAGGCTACTCAAGATCCTTTCCTTAGAAGCCGCCGTTTAGAGGTGAGCTTGTTTCCTTTTACATCGCAAAACAAAGGAACACATGTTGAGGATACCGTACTAAAAGGGACCCTGGGGGCACCAAGTCCCGTATCGCAGGTGTGCCTTGGGCAAGTAGTGGGGAGCCCTAGCTTCGCCTATCTTGAAGAACGTTCCGCAAATGTAACTTTGCCAGAAAGGAGGTTTATAAACATCACCTTTGGTTGCCTCACTGCACTTTATACCTCGTGCGTTTGGACCATTTTGGGGGTGAACCTATGTTACTGCCAGGTCGCAATGTTCAGTCTGTGAATCCGGAAAACACCCTGTTTGCAACCAAACGAGTTTGCTCTTTGGGAGGTCTCCAAAGAAGCATTTCATAGCTAAATATAGTGTGTATTTGAGAGGTGGGCCATTGAACCTGCGTTGGATGTTTTGCAAGGAGGGCTAGACCCACGCAGGGTCTTTGCTAGAAAGTTGTTTCGCTTTCACACAGGGTCTCCATGTGGTCGAATCCGCATAAATTGAATATGAGGATATATGAGGTGTTGTTTGTGAGAATCCTTCATCACTCCAATTGGTAAGCAAAACCAGGAAAAACAGATGGATGTTGCTATACGGCCCCCCTACTTAAACTTTGATCGGGGTCCCATCCATTGGGCCGGGTTTTGTTTAGCTCCGGGTCAACATTGTCCTATGGTTGTCAAGGGCCGCCCAATAGGGCCCCCCAATCCCAACAGGGGCTACTGGCGACCAATAGGGTCTATTAAGAGCTATAATAGGGTTCGGTTCCTTCTGGGGACCATTTTCAGGGGGTCCCCTGATTTGGGTTCCTTGACAACCAAACGTAGGACAATGGGTACCATACCTGGAATTGCTCCTGGGTGTGGTTTCTTTGAGTCAAGCCTTTGAATGGTTGCCATGTCTGTGTTTAACAGCAGGGTGGTACTTGCCATCCAATATCCACGGCAAGGGAGTTGACAATTTGGATGTCTTAAAATAGGAGCAGGAGCCCCAAAATGGGAGGTGTACTTTTGGTTTCCCTTTAAAACAACCCCAAAAAGGGTGCCCTCAAAAAAAACACCCATTTGACTGTTTCTGGAAATGCTTAGATGGTGCGGAAGGACCCGCTAAGTGGTTAGTAGCTGTAGTCACAAGGGTTCAAAGACGGCTGGGGCATAACTCCACCACTTCGCGAGTGGGCGGCTGACCCAAACCCCTCCAATGGTATTTGGGCGTGCGAGTTTGGAGCTGGTTCCCTTGTTCAGGTTTGTATAAACGGAAGCCAAAAAAGGAACGCCACCGTGTTTGGGATGCAACTAGTTTTTTGAGCCTGTCCTTTTTTTAGGGAAACCCTCTTTGGTGGCTAGGTCCCCCAGTAGTGCCCTTTTACCATTTTTTGGGGAGGGTTCCCATACTAAAATAGACTACAGAAAAAAGGGTACCCTTCTTCTAACCTCTCTACTGGAGGACCTAGGTGGGCTTTTTCAAGGGAAGCCACCAGGAAAAGCCACCATTCTGGCGGGTCCGATACCTAAAAATGGGCCCACTGGAGCCACAGCCTTCGTTTCAAGGACAGGACTTCGGCAGCTTCTCAACGACTGAAAGCTGACAATGTCTCGTGCTGCGGTTGAATGCTGGATCAATCCCTAGGTCCCCCAGCTAAGTGCCCTTTTACTTTTCCTTTTTTGGGGGAGGGTTCCCCTACTAAAACAGACTGCAGAAACAAGGGGTAGCCTTATTCTAACCTCTCTACTGGAGGACCTAGAGCCAGACGACCATACGTTTGATTTGTGGAATCCATCTAGAGATCAATTGTCAATTAAACAAGTTACCACCCTTGGTTGTGGTTCTCCAGCTTCCGCCTTCCATTGCATTGCATTTAATTGTCCATCATGTCCAAGCTCAGTAGTTCAAAGCCATCCTTTTAACCTTTCGATTTTCTCTTTTGGCAACTTTGAGTAAAGGTCCCAATAGGTGAGCCTTTTAGTGAGCAAGTCCTTGCAAGGAGATCAATAAGTGTTTTTAGCAATTTCTTCAGAGCTGCCTCGCTTTACGATGACCCCACGCAGCACGAGTTTAGGGCATTCTTGCGCGACAGGTTTAGTAGCGACACTTCCCGGCTGCAAGCAATGAGCTCATGTGTGGGCAGGACGAGCTCAAGTATGATGAAGGTGCTTTACTCGGGGATTCTTTGTGTTTACTTTGGGGATTTATAGTATGTTGCCCAGACAAATATTGGTTTCTCTTTGGTTTGTGTTTGGTTGCCTTGTGGTTTTCCTTTGGTTTCTCCTTGTTATTTGGTTTCATGTGCAATATCATCCAAGCGAGAGTAGCCTGGCCGCAAGCAGTCAAGCTTTGCGCTTTTTCCATGGCAGTAGACCATAACTATGTCTCACACCGGACGAAGTCTTGCACCGCTGATCTGCCTGAAGTCCACGGAACAACACGATGGCACCGAATGGGCGAATCTCGGTCTTCCAAAAGCTTGGCGTCGGTCTTCCAAAAGGTTGGCGTGCGTGCATGCATGTGGTGTGTGGCGTGTGTGTGCGTGTGTGTGCGTGTGTGTTTGTGTTTGTGTGTTTGTGTTTGTGTTTGTGTTTGTGTTTGTTTGTTTGCTTGTGTGTGTGTGTGTGTTTGTTTGGGTGCTTGCTTTTGTGTGTGTGTGTGTTGTGTGACTGTACCTTTTTTCACCTGGGTTTGAAGACACACGAAAAGGGGAACCTCAAGTAACAAGTCCCCCGTTTTGTGTCTTCGCATGCCCATATAGTCTTCCAAAACCGAACCCGAAAGGGCCATACTTGGTTTCGCAAACCAAATTTAAGCTGCAACCCGCAACACCCAGGACCTCCCAACTTTGCCATGCCCTTTTCGGAAGACATATATATGTTCCAGGCCGTGGACCCCCCCCCCCACCCCCCCCAACCCCCCCCCCCTGTGGGGGTGGGGTGGGTGGGTGGGGGTGGTGGTGGGGTGGTGGGGTGGTGGGTGGTGGTTGGGTGGTTGGGCCAACCCCCCCCCCCCTGGTGGGGTGGTGGGGTGGTGGGGTGGTGGGGTGGTGGGGTGGTGGGGTGGTGGGGTGGTGGGTGGGGGTGGTGGGTGGTTGGGTGGTTGGGTGGTTGGGTGGTTGGGTGGTTGGGTGGTTGGGGGTGTGGTTCGGAGTTGGTTTAGGCTTGGTGGGTTGGTTTAGGGTTGGTTCAGGGTTGGTTCAGGGTTGGTTTGCGGTGGGTTTCGGGTGGGTTTGGGTTTTGGGTTGATTTAGGCTTAGGGTTGGGGTTAAGGAGGGGTTGCAGGGTGGTTTGGTTTAGGGTAGGATGTTGCGAGAGGTGCGGGGGTGTTGGTTCACGGGGTGAAAGGGGGTCTGGGACCGAAGCTGCAGGGCTCGCACGGTACTGGACAGCATCCCCAGCATTGCCAGCATCATCCCCAAGATGCGGATGATGCGGGGGAGTGGGGGGACCATACCATTGGGGGGGGGGGGGGGGGGTACGTGGCCCAGGGACTGGTACATATATATATATATATGTATGTGTTGTTGCCCGTTGCTGAAAAAACAAAAACGTACAACAAGATTTCCAAGAGGCAAGCCCAAGCAGTTTTGAAGGCTTCCAAGCCCTCCATTTCGCAGGCTAGATGTTGCTTCAAACAAAACATCCCCCTTGTTCGCACGCAGATTGTGCACACGGACGAATCAAGTCCTTAAACCCCCAAGCTTGGCCACTAACAACCCGAAACCCGAAACCCCGAAACCCTAACACTCTCAACGCACCCTCAACACTTTGACCAGCAGTGGTGTGAAGCCTCGATCGGTTCAATGCCTGCGGATGCGCGCGGCGCGGCGCGGCGGGTCGTTAATGCGAGTCGAAATGGACGGAGTTCACTCGGCTCCTCGGCGCTTTTCATAGCGCAAGCAAATCGCCGTTCAGGGACCCAACCGCCTACAGGCAACCCCCAAATCATTTTGGACTCTTGCGTTTGCTGAAATGAAAGCTATTCATTTTCCCTTTCGGGTTTTCAAGGGAATCGATTTCACTACTGGGCATTTAAATATAGTTTCTCCTTCTTTTTCCAGGGGGCGAAAAAGCAAATGGAAGGACTCAAAGGTGTTTCTTTCCTTAAGGCTTCACAACTCGTAAGTTTAGAGGAGGTATTTGGGTTGGCAGAGTCACTTTCAATTTTGTCATTCGGCCCCATTGAATCAGTCAACCTTAGATTAATCTACCTTTATTACTAGGAAGAAGGGATTAATTACTTTAGGTTTTTATAGAAGCCCAATCCATGCTTCTATAAAAACCCACTGGAAACATGTATGGTTTACAGGTTTCCTCTTGTGCCAAGATGGTCCAAAAAGAAGAAGTTGTCAAAAGGAGCGCAATGCTCTAGAAAGCGGTTTGGCTGCGGTTTTTCGTGGATTTCACCGAATTTTCTATCCCCTGTTGGTCCTTGTTGAGTAACGTACTATACAGGGCTGGCCACAGATTCTCCAAACCGTCTAGAAATGCCGCTGTTTAAACCGGTCCCCAATTGGAGGCATATCCAGCCACTTTGAGCTGTTTTCATATCCACCCGGTTCTCGCTGGAAACCAAGGGGTTTGGCAGGGCTGGCCTTTCATCAGACCTTGAACTGAGAACTTGGGTTCGCAGATGGGCATTTGTTCTCAAGGGTGCCTCCCCATTCTCCTCATCCTTTTTAGACACCTCCCCTTTTTCAGGGAGTTCGATTCGCCATCTTTGTTTGTTTGTGTGCGTTTGTTGGTTTCGCGCGGCTCGCGTGCCCTTGAAATATGGCTGGCTTTTGGACTTGACCAATTCCTCCAGATGCTCACTTCTCCGCAACGGGTTTCCTATTGTGCAACTGACCGCATGGTACGCTGACCCTAGATGTTGTTTTTGTTGATTGTTGGTGTTAAACATCACGTTTCGGGCACATTAAAGTAAGTTTCTTTTTTTTGCAGGGTGATGTTTCAAGGGGACAATCTAGGGAACTACCCTGTTTTGCCAAAGAAGGTGTTGAGCTGCGTTGTGTTTTTAGTTTGTTTGTTGGTACCCTTTTATGGTCTAAGCGAAACCAAGAGGAACACCACCCTTATGTTATATGGTCGCCCACTGAGCTTCTTGCAGCCTCGTTTGAGAATTCATGGCTTCAGGCTAGTCACTGAGAACAGTGCCATGGGGATACATGAAACCCTGCCAACCCGTGCAAATGATCTGCTTCAAGCTGGTTTCGTGTCAAGTCCATGAATTGCCAAACAGAGTTAACGGCAAACTTGCGCTAGTTTGGACACATTGCAGAGCTTATGCAAAGCCTCCCACATCATAACGCCCTTGCCGGGCCATGTCGAAAACCCCCCAACAGTACAGCGTAACACCTCAAAGCGTCGTCTTGCAACCTGTGGCTACATGTAGAGAGGCATCCATATTTGCCAACTTGGATCCAACGTCTATCAATTGCATCCAGACTTAGCTACATGTTTTGCTTGGCCCCTATCCAACAAATTGTGTTTTTGAGGGGATTCCCAGCGCCATCCAGCAGGTTCACCGTTTGGGGCTTCTTTTTCTGGCCAGTGAAGTTCCAGGAAGCAGCGAAATCCGCCAGACTTCTCCCCGGTTCGTGTCGCTTCCTTCGCGATGGGCAACGCCATAGCTTCGAAGCTCCCGCCGGTGACGGATAAGGATCTGAGGAGCGTCCGGTCGCAACTAGGTTTTTCAGTAGTGCCCTTTTACCTTGTTCTGGGGGAGGGTTCCCTTATAAATAGATTACAGAAAAAAGGGTACCCTTATTCTAACCTTTGTACTGGAGGACCTAGGTAAAGTTCGCGTTAAACGACGTGTACATCCCCCAGATATGGTTCCATCATACTTTATGGCGGCGTGGTTGAATCTGTGGACTTTCATTTTTTGGGTTGAAACAGCGGATTTTGCATTGGCGCCATAAGTTAAACTTTTGCAAAGGGGTCGTCATGGCAACCAAGCCTTTGTAAGTTGTGAGTCAGCGCAAGTAAACCAAGCTTTCCTATTCTTAATGCCCCAGACTTCTGGAGTCTTTGGCTCTGGCCTGTGACATGTATCGTCAGTCAGTAAGTGGCAGGGTGCAAAGAACATCGCCCAACAGTTTGCCCAATGTGCTCCCCCAGCCAATTCCTGAAGCCTGGAGAAGGGCTATCTGAAGACAGCAATGGAGCTCGGTTTCAACCTGGATGTAGAGAGTGTCCCTTGAAGTAGAAAGTCAAGGATCCGCAAAAGCAAGAGCACCCCTTTACCTGAGACCCTCCCTGGACTTATGTTAAGCCTCCCCCCTTCCCGATTTCTTAAAGGCCACGGAGACCCCACAAGCCAATGCGAATCCCACTTGGTTCTTGCAGACTGCCTTGGGAACATGTGATACACCCCGAAGAAGGTTCTGGATTCCTGTGGTAGAAACTTCTGACTTCGAAATGTTGACCTCGCAGTTCAATCAACCTGCCGGGTTTGATAGGAGGATGGTCCCCGTAGAAGTGGAGGCCACCTCGAAAACAAGCCCCCGAGATAATCAACTGTCGGATTTAACATGGGTTGCGAGTACCGCGAGTAACGCAAGACTTCAGTGCAGAGGATGGTCCCTCAGTGTGGTACATGGGTGTTTGATGGTACCCTCTTTGGCCACGCTTGAAAGGGAGCCAAACAAAAACCGCCCACTTGGAGGTCCCCGCAATTTTGACATACACCCACTGTGGCTACCTTTGTTTTGTTCAGACCTCTAGTGGCGCTCTCTTGCCCTCCTGCCCTCTTTTTTTGAGGGGGTGTCCACCAAAATCAGTCAATTAGGGGGATTCTCAAAATTGGGGACTCCTACAGGCGGCTGGTGTGCTTTTGGTTTTCCTTCATCAACCAACGGGGGGTGCGAAATCTTTTTTGCGAAACTCCCATCTACCAAAACAAGTTGGCCTTTTTTCTGGAGGTGTGTGTCTTTGAGTTGGGAGGTGCCATGGCTTTTGCACTGGCAGGACCGTGCTGTCCTACAATCTCAATGAGAGCCACATCCGATCCGTGTACAAACTGTTCACAGAGGCTGGTGGTTGGAGGGCGGGTGCACGTAAGATTTTACAGGTTGACTTCCCCAAATGGGTGTGGCACAAAATTAAACAGCTTGTTCTAAGCAGGTGTTGGTCTTTGTTTCCACACACCAAGGTGCCATTGTGGGTACATCTTTTACGGCACAGCCAAATGTACCTTGACATGTGTGTGTGTGTGTGCGTTTGTGTGCTTGGGGTGCGCTTGTTGTGGCGGGAAACCGAAAGGAATAAAGCTGTCTGTTGGGAGGGTTCACCATTTTTCCGCTGGCACAAGGATATTTTGTTTGCTTACCCTCAAAACTGGACAAGATACTATTGACAAAAGACATAGTCATGACACGCAAAATGAAGCCATGATTCCCCTTTAAGTATTGGATTCTGAGACAAGACTGGTCTGTCCCTTCTTGTACCGAACGGGTCACCGTTTTGCGCTTGGCGATGCAACTTTGAGAGTAACTGCCTCAAAAGTGGACGGTGGACTTGAATCGCGACCCAGTGAATTGTGATGTCCACCAAAGCGGTTCCTAGGTAAACATCATGCCCATGGGTGTGTGTGTGTGTCTGTGTCCTGGGTATAGGGAGCTCCCAGCCGTGACAGATTGACGTGGACTCCAATGGAGTCTGGACCGTCAGCGAGATGTACAGAGTCCTGAAGGCGCGATGGCGCGATGGTCACTCTGCTCGGGTGCAGACGGGTGTGGATCGAAAGTAAGGAGGCCCCGCAGGTGGTGCAATTGGTTTCTCTGGCAAACTGGGGGTGGGGGGGGGCGAGTTAGTTGGTTTTTTTTGGCCACAGCCATATTGAATATGAAGGGAACTGAAATGTCATTTTTTAAGCTTCAATGAGGATGACTCACGTCTCGTTTATTTGTTGTTTACTCACAACCCCTTTCTAGTTGTTTAGGCCCTTACTTATTGTATAGAGCCTTTTGCAGGGATCTCTACTTGGTTTCTGGTCTTGGACCGGAACTTCGCGGGGAGGGGGCGCGGGGGTCAACCCGAACCCAGGACACGCCAAGGATAAGCCCTTCAGGATTGTTCAGGGGTAATTAAGGTGACAGCCCCGCAGCTCCCCTCATAGCCGCCCTTTGACCTTTTCACTTCTGTTGACATTCCAGAGTTGGGTGTGTCTCGCAATAGGCTTTTGCCAGTTCCGCTTGCAGGCACTTCTCCGTGGCAAGCAATACTTGCTGTTGCGATAGGGAATGCCCCAGGGTGTTGGGAATGAACCTAGGGCTCCTCTTAAAGGAAACCACAAGGGATAGTTTATAGGGATCATTCCTTCCTTGCCTTCAGGAATCCGATTGGAGCGTTGGCCAATCCAATGAGGAAGTGAGTAGGTAAGTCTTTGATCGAGTGAGTAGGAACTCTGTTTCTATACCTGTTGTTTTGCCATGGTCAAGCGGTGGTCCCCCTTCAGGATGGAATCCTTGCACTCGATACTTGACTATCGAGTTGGTCCACTTAAAGTTGGCTTGGCAGATTTCTTCAGTTGAGTACTTGAACCCCAGACTGTTTCCCAGACACCTTGTAGTGTCCTTGTTTCCCTTTTTTTGGAGGGGGTTTCTCTTTGTAAACTCAAGCAACACGTGAGGATGCACCTTTTTCACCTGGAAATGCGAATCTGGGCTTCCGGGGTCTCTCTTTGTAACCTCAACCAACTTAAAAGTGGGTGCCCTTTCTGTCACCAGAAATCCGAATCTTGCCAACTCAAATTCGCCGTTTGAAACCGCTGGTTGCTCAGCTTCGTTTCCGCCGGAGAGGAGCCTCGACTTTCGGTGCGAGCTCCGGTCATTGACACCATCTTCTTCATGGGCCTTTGCCTGAGATATGAGCCTCCGCGGGGGAGTGAGCTTCATGGTCGGGGGACATATTCTTCCATTTGCCTGCGGACTTTTTGTTTAGCAAACTGGAGGTATTTGATTTTTCGCCTCCGCGGCAGCAAGGGAATCCCCTTCAAGGTGACCAAGTAAGCGAGCATTTAAGGGAAGGTTTGTTGTCCACATTGCAGGCGGGTCTTAAGGAGAAGCTGCTAAATGAATTTCGGTGTTCCTTGGGTTTCCCTTCAAACCCGCCCAGCCTCCCACAAAAGAGGCGAGCCATCCCGAGGTTCCGAGGTTCCGCGTGCCTCATGCTCTGTCCATGTCCTAAACCCTATGGTCTCACTTTACCTGTACATGCCAACCCACTTGGGGGGTCCGAATCCGATTTGGCTATGAAACTTATGAGTTGAACCCATCTTACATGTGGTTGGCGGACATAACACTGCACCGCATTCTGATGCCCACCAAGGGGTCCCCGATCAAAAGTCACACTCAAGTCCTTCGGCCCGTCGGCGAGAATTCCCCTTCATACCTCCAGGTCTCTTTAGGACGAACTCCCCGGCAAGGGAAACTCTTCAAAACTTGGCCGAAAGATTGAGGTTTGATCCATACGATCATCTCAGTACCCTTAAAGAGGTCACTTAGTGTCTTGGCAAAGGGCATGGTTGCGCCAAGCGTTTTTTTGTTTTTGTCCACATCCGATTGGTTCCCTCTAACAGGAGAGTGTTGTGGTCACACAGTTTGCCCACTTTCCCGGAGTGGGGGTCCAATTCAATCTTTGGCTGCATAACCTTTGCATTCTTGCTATGGCTCAGTGGAAAGATGAACATGGAGCACAGCCCCAAAATGAAATAGGCTACTAGTCCCGTCAGGGATTCCATTTCCGTGGTTAAGTAGGTAACCAGAGAATTGCCACCCTTTAAACAACTTAAAACAATGATGGCAAATGGGTACCTACTAGGGATGTCCTTACACTCTAAGGTGACAGCAACAGCGAGGGCAGCATGACCTTCCAGGAGAAGGGCAGTTGGTTGCGCTTGCGGGCAGTTGGCGGGAAAATACTCAAGGTGCCAAGATCAGCTTTCTTCTAGTTGGTGGTTTGGAGGTTGGGCGGTGGTTTCCCATCCGTGTACATTCAAAATTGGGATTCAAATCCCCAAACCAATCCAAACCGACGTCCAAGCTTTTAGAGTTACCTGAACAATGGTCCATTTCACTAAGCTGGTCACACAGAGCGTTCAGTAAACCGGCCGAATGTCTTTCCCTTGCATTTCTTAGTGAATCAACCAACAAAAGGGCAGCTCTGCAGCCGAAGCTTGGCAAGTTGCAAACTTGTCCTATCACTGCCACTTATCCAGCCCAAATCCATTCCAAATACTGCGGATCGACAAAGTGCTGTTGGGACGGCTGACGCCGGATTTGGATACTGGGACGCAGTATTTCTTCCATGCAGCCCAAGCATGGATATCCGAAGTGCGACAAGCTTCGGGGTTCCGTGTCATGAACCATGTTAATAAGGGGGAACTCACTTTTTAGGGGCTCCATCTTAATTAATTTGCAGGGGGAACTCGGTTTTGTGCGGGGTCCATATGGGGTTGGAAGGGCGGTACCTGATGGTTTTTTCAGGTTCCATGGTAATTTGGTGGACTAGTTTGCTGTCGGATCCATAGGACTTCCTGGTGACAATGTGCTCCTTTTGCGCTCTGTCCAAGGAAGAGGCAAGGAAGACAGCGGCTGCGGCCGGGTGTTCTCCAAAACGATATGTTTGGGGTGGCCTGGGTCCTCCGTCTCCATTTCATTTGGAAGCTTCGGGCGGCGAAATCTGGCCCGGATCTCTTGGTGGCTCCCAGCCATCCGGTTCCTTAGCCTTTTGGCTTGTTAGTTTTTAGTGGGATTTTCAGTATTTAACCCACTAAAAGTGGACAACTTTTAGCAGGGGGTCCGAAAACGGACAGCCCAGAATCTGGAAGCATGACTTTTTAGAGCACCCCAGCGGGTTGTCAAAGGAGCTGTTCGGCAGGTTCTAAGAAATGGGTTTCAGCTTGCACAGGACCATCATTCCAGGCATCCGAAAGCAACCCATCCAATAGGAACGGATGAATAATCAGAGCACTTTTGGAGGGAGCTCTCCCCTTTTGATAGGACGGGTTCTACTTAGATCCAGGGTCAACATAAGGTCACCCAATGTTGCTGTTGGCGACTTACTCCCAGCGCTTGCAAGGGAAAAGCAGACACAGTTGTGGGGATGCCAGAGTTGGCTTCCCAGGATTTGCTGTTGCGTAGTAAGCCAGCCAGGGTCACTGGTTGCAAGCGAGATTGGGCATGCTGAATATTGGCATTGCCGTGCGTTTTTCCCCTCTCTCCTGGACAACATGAATGTCTTCAGCTCGAAAAGCGAACGCCGAGCGCCGGCCAGATGCTGCAGTTTCTCTTCATGATCATCGACATTGACCGAAACGGTGTCCCTTTCGGGGCGTTTGGGAGGGCGGCCTGGCCGGCGATGCGATGGTGAGCTGAAGTAGACTTGGCTGGGAGCCAAACAACCCACGAAGTTATGTTATTGTTTGTTGTGTTCAATGTCTCAGAAAGGAAACCATACTGGGATGGATATTCAATAATAGTTCCAGATACCCCCCCCCAATTGGAATTTCCCATTTAGTTCGCGAATGGAATATCTACTATAATGTCCTGTCTGGCACTGAGTAAGTCGGGCGATATGTTGCCGCCAGAGACATTAATAATGACATCTAACCACCTACCCAAGCTATCAAAAGGGTGAGACACAAAGCTCACAGGAACTCACAGGGCATGAATCCTGTTCATTTCCAGACAAGGCACCAGTTTGGTGTGGCTCAAAATTAGGGATCTATGTTTTGAACTGCATCGTTTTCGCCACAGTCGTGTGGTTTCAGGCAACTCTTAATTGGTGGTTTGGATTGATAGGGATTTGAAGCCCTGGTTCTTGATTTCCGTATTTAACCCACTAAAAGTTGGTCACTTTTAGCGGGGGATCAGTTTGGGCAGAGCCAAGTTTCGAGCTGCAGCCAACTGGTTGGTAGGTACCATCGAGAAGGAAGAGCTCCTGAACTTCTTCTCTTACGTCCCCGCGGGCTCTGAAGAGGGCCAAGCGCCCCGAGTCGAAGGTGTCGAAGCTCGCTCCGTGAGGGCTTGGCTGTTTTTTTTTTGACAGATCCCTTTGAAGGAAGTATGTCAAAGGCGGATGCTGGAATTTGGCGCTTCAAAGGCAATCCTCCATGCTTACCTTTGGCAAGGTATGCAAGGGGTTGTCTTAGCGGTTTTGCAAGAGTGACGGATCAAGATTTGGAACAGCCCAGTCTAAAAATGCGGCGTTTCTTTCACTTGAGCAATTTCTGCACCAGATGTTTCCTTGGCGGTTCCCAGCCATCCCCTTAGGCTTTTTAGCCTTCCAGTGTGGGGTTTCCGTATTTCACCCACTAGAAGTTTGTCAACTTCTGCCGGGGATGCGGAAGCGGACCGCCCAGTTTCGGGAGGTCAGCACGAGTTCTGAAGTGCCCTGGTAGGTCCTTAGACTCCACAGAGCATGAGATATGCAACCCTCCCCATGACCCATGACTTTGCTTGGCATGGCTCTCAACACCTGCGGTTTCCGCAAGAAAGGCTCCTTCTCACTAAAAATGCACAAGTACATCTGACTCCCTGAGTTTCTGGACTTTAAAAACTTTTTTGGAAAGACCATAATTAGAGATAAATGAAGGGTTCAGACTTGTGCGGACTATCTCAGGAAGTGAGAAATTGCTGGACATAGAGCATGTGCCTCAATGGCAGCCTCAAACATGGCTGGGCACAACTCCCTGTGTCGAAATGAGGTCCACAGGAGCTGGGCTTGTTATGTTCTGTCTCTATAGGGGGGGGGGTGGCCGGCAGAGATTCGTCAAATTGTGTTTCATCTACCACTGGGATGAATTTGATAAAGTTAAAGTAGTGGGGGGGGCGAGAGGACTGCTTGTCAACCTGCTTTGCTTTGCTGTGTTGAGCTCTGCTTTGGCGGTTATGCCTCTGAGGCAGGAAATACGTGTTTTTGTTCAGGCATCTTTTGTCAGAGTCATTCCTTATTGACTTAAGGACTCTATGCTATCAGAGTTTTGGAACCCATTGACTCCCCTTAGCATGCTGAGCTGCTGATTGCGCCGGAGCTTCGCGAAGTCTCGGACAGCGACAATGGCTGTGGCCGTAATGGCCGCAGTGGTTCACATGTGGTGCAGTCAGAGTGTCCGTCCCTGAAGTTCGTGGAGACGCTAGCGGCCGATTTGGCAAGGGAAGTGCGGAAGAGAGTCACGGATAAGGTTTACCCCTGATCAAAACCCCCCGAAGATCGACAAGGCAGAGAACACCATTTTTTGAAAAGCCCCCCTCACCCCCCCACCCCCCCTGATTAACCCGGTCTTTCTCCGATCCTCGGCAACCGGAAAGCTGTGTTGCATGGTATCCCGGCGCTGAGTGCCAGGAGCAAAGGTTACTGCCAGCTGTTTGTGAGGAGAAGACTATGAAGGGAAATAGTATTGGTAGAACTATTGAAGTAACTATTGGCCATGTTGTAGCTTCCTGTGATGGATTTCATTTGTTTGGGGTTGTTTGGGACCAGAGGGGACAGTCTGTATGAAGGGGGTTTTGTTGGGTGCCAAAAATGGATTAGGTTGTTTTGGTTGGCCAAACCTTGTTGGCCCCTTTAAAGTAGTATTGGCTGGCAATCAGAAGTGGAAGTGGACCACGGGTCAACATTAGACAGCTTCGGGCGATCCAGCACCAAGGGTGTGACTTGAGTAACCCTAGCTAGAAGGACTTACCATGGGGTTTAGAGACGTGTTCACTGGGGGCTGTACCTCCCGCACCATCGATCCGACCGGAGCTTAGGTCGGGGCGAGCCCGTCTTTCCGGTGAACAACAAGAATGCCCTGGAGCGGGCGTGGGAAAAACACATGAGGTGTGTTGGTCTCTATGGGGTTGGGAAGCCGAAAGGGAAACCTACTTTTTGTGGGGGGCCTAGTTCGGTTGTTTCAGGTTTGGTTTATTTGGGACGGACATGGTGGCTGGGGCTATGCACAAAGCATCAGCCCCAACATCTGTGGGAAGAAAGGGGTCAAGTGAGTGAGTGTCAAAGTCAGGAGTCATTTAAGAGTTTCTCAAAATAGAAGACCCCTAAATCTTGATGGTTTCCTTCCGGATTTGAGAAAGCCCCATCTGCTATATCACTTGCGAGGTGACTCTGAAGACATGGGCCTAGGTAGAACAATTGCACGCACGGGGCACTATCCTATCTCTTGAACAAAGTCAATCATTACGGTAATAGAATATGCGTGAAGGCAGTGGTATTCCTGTACGGGTACCATAGTCAACTAGGCACAGATGTTCTTTCTGTGGCTAAACGAGTAACTGCATGGAGCAACATGATGGTAAGCATGTTGAAATCATGTTGCCCAAGATGGCGGCAAATTTTGGTTTACAAATTGGTGCCGCCACATGATGTCTGATGATGGATTCCCATGACAGGGGCAGGCGGTCTGCGAAGCAACAAGCAAGCCAGCCCTATATCATTTGTCTGCACCCGGAATCTCCAGCCGTTTTGTTTGTTTCAGTTTGAGGTCAACTAGATTGAGATGGTCTGCAACAACCAATTTGCTGGTGCCCGGATACCTCATGTCATGTGTAGAGCAGGTTTTGGAATTTTCCCACCTGGCTTTGGTGCCTTGTTTCGGGGACCTGGAAACCTTTGTGGTGTTTCCTGTTTAGCCAATTTTTATCAGGGGACCTCCAAATGATGGTTTTCCTTTTGGTTTTCCTTTTACCACAAAAAGGGGTACCCTCAAAAAACGACAACCCGCCTTTCAGAGGCACCCCAATCGGGGCTCCCAAAACAGGCCGGTGCGAAGCCTCTCTCTTTTGTTTCTTCTTCGAGTTGGCTCTGAACCGCCGGTGCGGTTCACAGGATTTGTTGTGGCTCATGGGTAAGTTGCGTATTGTTAAGGCTGAACGTACGGGTCCATATACTCACTTGCCCAAAGCCGACCTTTTGACCTTTTAGTTTTCCGGGCTTGGCCTATTTTTAGTCATGACCCCAAAAGGTTAACCTTTTATTTTCAGGGCAAGTGAGTAACCCATGACCTTGTTGGACCGATCCCCAAACGAGCTGATTTCCCAAAATTAAGCCTAACGGTCGATGAACCCACAAACTAGGGGTGAGTGCACCAGGGGTTCATGTATGTAGATATTATACACTCAGCCCTTGTTGCAAGAAAGCCAAGGCTTGGCCTTGATTTGGGCGGGGGGTATGTGTCTCAATATGGGGTCTGGTCATTTGCTGCCAGACACTGGACTTTTTTTGAAGGCTGAAGGAGATGCGATCATCCCTAGCATGGCTGACAGACCAGTGCAGAGGCATTACAAAGACCAATGTTTGATTGCGCGCAGACAAACTGGGTCGCCTTCACAAGCATGAGAGCACATGGAAGCGTTAAGCACGCAAGGACTCACGGCACCCTTCAGAATCCTAATGCTTTCCATGTCAAGTGGTATGCTTTCCTTTCCCGTGCAGTTGAGCTGATTGCAATTTGGGGCATAGCCGGACTGCAGCCAAGGGAGTCTGCAGTTGCTGAGATTTGTGGAAGAGGTTTGCGACGCAGTGCAACTGGGCTGCTCAGAATTGTGCACAGCATCAAAAGGGCAGCCGCAACCAGCATTTCGTTTGCGGCACCTTTGCCAGTGCTGCAAACAGGAGTACCACAATCCGCATCGCGTGCTCACCCGACACATGGGGCATAATGGCATGTATTTGGTTGAGTATTTGTTTGGGGCACATACGTGGGCGTTCTTTGAATAAAATGACCCCTTTGCTGCTGGCTCTCATGTGTTCTTATGGTTCAGAACTCCTCGAATCTTAAGAAACCACCTGAGTTTCTCCAACCCTTCTGATTTTAAGCGCCCGCCTCATTGAGAGACACCCCAGGCTCCAAAAACCTTGCCAGGCAAAAACAGAGGGTGCAAGATGAACTGGGGCAAAAACAAGAACTGAGCCACAATCAAAACCCAGGTAGATGAAGGTTAGTAAGGAGCCATAAATAGCTGCGGCCGCCTTCTCAATTCTGGTTCTGGGTTCGCCATTTTACCGGGTTTTGATTGTGGCGAGCAAATGGGACGGCGCCAAGCAGAAGGCGCCCGGTTCCCGATTCTTCCAAGCTCCGTGCAAGTCGTGCCGTGCGGCCAGGACAAGTTTCGGGGCGGCAAGTGGAACTGCGGCTTCCTCGGCTTTCGGCTTTCGGGTTCGGGAGCTTGCTCCATGGGTCTCTCGGGGGTAGCGGTGGGTAACCCTCAAACTACGACAAAAGCAAAAAAAGATGCCAACAGTTATTTGAGGCAATAGCCGTGTCTTATGGGTTTGAGGATGCAGGTAGTTGGTGACCCTGGTTACATCCTGCGTTCCCATGGTTTGAAGCCCCCGTGGAATACTCGCCACGTAAGTGGAACCTCAGGCAAATCGGTTCAAAGAGAGAGGCCCGGATCAAAAAGTAGCTGCGGCCCTTTGGCCATGTGCTCCTTTTGGATCTTCTTCCAATTATCCTCTGCTTTTGGATGTGCTTTTGCCCGGCTGATCAAAAAGTAGCTGTGTGCTCCTTCTTCAACCGCCCTCTCCTTTTTTGATATTCTTTTGGATTACCTTCTCCGGTGCCAAGTTTGAGACTGAGCATTTCTTCGCCATGCGAAACAACAACCAGATCAATTCAGCCGAATGTGTGTGTGTGTGTGAGTGTGTGTGTGTGTGTATCTCTTTCCAGGGTACTCCTTGTTTCTTGTGTTTCAGGCGAAAACTAACATGACAACTACAGTTTGTGAGGGGGGGTCCCTATCAACATGGCTTCGAATTCTCATTTAGCCTCCAGGCAACACTCTTTATGTTTTAGCAACGTATGCTTACTCACCACTTGTCCGTGTACGCCCCGAGCGCAAGATTAGCTACTTGTACAATGCCTGAGACCTTTCTGTTGGGGTTTACCAAGCTTGGCCCACCACCAGAGCGTGAACTAGTAGGTCCGTTGGATTCTTGCTCACCGTCAGTGCCCTACGTTCCTTTGCCCAACACCGGGTGCTCTTTTTCTCTTTGGAGCGGGGAAAAACATCCATTCATCTATTTGCCCTTTTAGAACATTAACAGTCCGAGCGGATCTAATTGTGTTAATGCTGACTTAGTCACGTATCCTCCGTTACGACTTCACCATACCAAGTGGGTCCCCGAAGAAAAAAGGCCAACAACACAGCGGCCTTGTGAATCCTTTTTAGCATGACAGGTGCAATTTCAGATTTCGGGTCCCGATTCGGTGGTTCCAACTCGAGTTGTGGAGGGGTCCAAAGAAACTTAAACTATCCGGAAAGGGACAACACTCACCATAATTTTGAGTTTCGCAATCCTCGAATTTGCCGTTGTTGTCAATGGACAATCATTGGAGCCCAAAAAAAGGAAGCCCAAACGAACAGCTTTTCAAGCCTTTGACCAACAAGGCGATGCCGTCGAGTCGATGGCATCGAGTTCTCTCAGGTTTGCAGTTCGATGGCCTGGCGCAGCTCTGCGAGCTCTTCCCGTGCGCTCGCGACTGCGCTCGAGCGCTTCATGGAGCAAACTTGCCGGCTGTGCCACGGGGCGAGACCTCCAAAAGTGGATCAGTTTTTGGATAAGGTATTTTTTGTTGGGCACCTGATTGTTGGTGCTTCTGTGATGGTCAGGAGTGTTTTTTCGGGTGGTTTGGGTGTTTTGGGGGGTCTGGCGGGTGCTTCATGTGTCTGCCTTCATTTTCCCGGTGTTTCCGGGCAGTTTTAGTGGAAACTACCAGGAAATTGATGATTGAAGGGGAAATCCAGTGACCCCCCATAAATTGGTTGATTCGACCCAAGAAATCGGGTGTGGTAGGCTGGACCCAAGGAATTGGGCTGTTGCTCATTGCAAGCCTTTTGGTGGTTCCACGAAGAGACATAGATGTTGTTCCACTTGTGATTTCCATGCAAAAACACGATTTAATTGGCGTACCAACTCCATGTATTTTTTGAGTTGGTACCCTGTTGCAGGTTGTTTGAATGCAACTCTACACTGACAATTGTTCTTTTGGGACCGCATCAAAGTAGCTGGGCGTGTCTTAAAACGGGGATCCGACCCAAAGCAAGCGGTGAGAACAAGACACCCATACCCTGTGCCAGTGGACATGCCGAAAAGACACCATGGAGTTTCAATTTCTCAGGTACATCGCATACCCTGCCTACCATACGCAGGCGGTCGGGTCGCAGGGTGTTCGGTCGGGTGGGTCATGTTGCTTCTTTGCATGGTGGCTGGGTGCTAAATAGCCCATAAAGTATTGTTCCTTTACCCTTTCTGGTTTCCCAACAGGGGATGGGCAATTTTAAATAATTTGGCCCGTTGCTACTCTGCCAACAAGTGTGTTTGTTGTTTGCTACTTTACCCTTTTGGGGAGACCTGAAGATCAGTGTTCAGTGTTTTTTCCAGCGCAGGTGGAAACAGCCCTTCTGTCTCCAGCTCGCCCAGAACGAAAGACAAAGTTTGGGGAACTGGCGGGGGGCGGAGGCAGCTTATTGATTCATGTCCAGCTGTGTTCTTTGTGGGGGTGCCCTTTGCCTCTGGTTTAAAGGGTTTTGGGGTCCAACACCTCAAACAACAGCAGCGGTCTAAGAAGCTATCTCCACTGGTTGTCCAGGACGTTCGCCCAACCCCCTGGGTTTGTTTTTGTGGGGGTCTTTGGAGAGGATGTCCCTCACACAACCCGAATAAAAGGGTGCTTGCAACCCAAAAGAACGGTTGCTGATGTTTTTTTCTTAAGGGCAGTTTCTTGGGGTCCGGGTAGATGGCTGGTGAGGTTTGGTCCTTCCTGTTTACGGGGGTGTCTTCGGATCCGCTGATTTCAACGGGAGAAATCTCTCGGCCGCAGGACATGTACCGGAAGATCTTGCTGGGGAAGGCGCCGGCCCGGTCCTTCGATGCCGGCGGAGTGACCCGGGGTGGCTTGCGGTGTTTGAGAGGGCGGCCTTCGAAAGGGAATCCAAAAGGAAACCGCCTGTTATTTCTATTATTATTATTAGTAGTAGTATTACTATTATTGTTACTTTTTTTGGGAGGGGGGTCCTTGTTTTGCGACCACCGAAAGGAAACCACCTTTCGAGATACCGGAGGGTTTCAAATTAGTTTACGTAAGCGAGTCCAACAAAGGCCATTGACTGGCCAAACAATCTGGCCAAATGACACATCAGCTCATTTGGGCGAAGGTATGGTTTTTACGGGTAGTTGTCTCCGGTCCAGGTGGTTATCGACCAGTTAAGGGCTGAACGCCCTTAAAGTGGCATTTGTCACCTCCACACCTCCATCCGCAACCGAACATGCCAACTCGCCTGCAAATCGCCCGAAACCAACGACCTCACACCTGACCTCTCAAAGCCATACCAAACCTTCCTACAAAGACGCTCCCGATTATAGAAAGCCTGGGTCTGGAGGGGTCTGGGTCTTATTGAAAGCCCCAGGAGCCTCTGAGCACAACGACACCCACGTATTTGTCCTTTTCGGTTTCCCCAAAGATCTCTTGTAAGGGGGAACCCAAAAGCAAAAAGCAAGACGTGGACTTCGTTTTGCCCGCAGAATTTCTGGGAGCGCCTGGACTACGAGCGCATCAAGTACCAGACCGTGGTGAGGAGAGAAATCGACCCTGTGGCACTTTTGTCCCCCTCCTCCCACGCTCCCACCTAGCTAGCACACTAACCAACCCAAAAAGGACTTTTTTGGCCGTTACTCACCATTACTCAAAGAACCTCCTGCTTTTGGCGTCCCTTTAAAGGTGGCCAGGGCGAAGCTTTTTCAATTTTGACATGGATCTTCCAGCTGGCACGCTTGTTGGGTGGCTTTCTTTGAGGTTCAGAGGGCTGATCAACGGAGAGCCTCGGGTTTTCCGACCGGTAACAACCGGGGGACTCACGAATGGTTCAGCAAATGCAGGGAACTCACGAGTTTTCCCACCAACCAAAAAACTCAATGAATGCACTAAAAAGTCATGGTCTCCGCTAACTTAAAACCTTCCATGGAGTCCCAGGCTGGGGCCGGGGGTCCAAAGCAGCTTCTCTGGCCGTTGGGGAAGCCCAACTAATAGGGGCTTCTACTTGGGCCTCAACATGTTGCCTCACAAAACTTGGGACACATAAAATGGTTGTTGGACGACTAGTGACGCCCTGGTGTTTTCTGACCGAGCCGGCTTCCCTTTGATATCCCCTATCATCCGGATGATGCCAGAGTTTGTTTTGTGTTTGTCTTTTTTTTTCTTTCTCGTATTCCCATCAATGTCTCTTTCAACCAGAAATTAGGCAACCCTTAGTTGGTGGTTTGGGTTGGTGGTTTGGGATTGGATCCTGGGAAACCCCTCCATTTCCCCACACCACCAATCTCCAAAGCCAATGGAGAGAAGCTGATGCAAGCAGTTATCCTTTACGTCCGCCCTAATCTGATCCAAACCTTCCGCGCCATGGTAAAACCTGTTTGTTGCCTTGGGGTTAGGGGTTGAAGGACCCATTGCCAGAGTTGCACGAGTTGCCTCCCCAGTCTATTCATCCGGATGATTTGCTGTTACCGGAAAATGTGCGATGTCTACTCAGAACAAGTGAAGAGAATGGAGCCCTTCGAAAGGGTTTCTGAAGGCACCATGGTCCACAGATTGACTCTGGCACGGACATGGCTTACGTGCCAACAGAACTTGTATGTTTTTTGGGCTCGGAAAGTTTAGGTGCTGATTTCCTCAGAATGCAGCCTTGAAGGGGATGTGTAGTTGTGTTCAGAGCCTTTCCTGGAGGGTTGCTTGCGGGGGAATTTTCAAGAGGTCTAAGCACCTCCTTGGAAGGTACCAGGGGACCCGTGGGGAATTTCCAGCAAAAGCAAATTGGCTGCTCTGATGAGTCCAAGTCTATCAAGTACTTTCTGAAAACCCACAACCCCGTACCCAGGCGAGTGAAGCACCTGCTGCTTGCTCATCTTCAGGACGAAGCGCGTGCGCATGCCCTTCACCAAGAAGAAGATCGAGGCGCAGATCCCTCGACTCGACGGGTCCCATCCAGATCTCAGCTGTTCAGTGGCACCCTTTTTCGTTTTACCTTTTTTTGGGGTGGCTGCCCCACGAAAAATGGTCCAAGCGCCAAAAAGGGCTCCCTTTTTTTCCAGTGTCTTGAATGCACTCTGGGCCTTGGAGTCGCAGGCGTCTCTGAAGGAAGAGACGGGTGTGCCTGTTTTTGGGGGACCCTTTTCAAATGGCCGGTGGTCCTTTTGGTTTGCCTTTTTTCACCAAGAATTTGGCCACCAAAAAAAGGCGCACCCAGATTGAATGATTGGACAAGTTGAATGCAAGTGACCCGGTTGACTCGCTATGGCTGGTGAATATCCTCTCGATTCACTGGTGGGCGACTTTGAGGAAATGGATGGCCACAAACCGGATCGCCAAGAAAGACGTTTCCCTTGACATGATTGCATCAAGGTCTTTTCCAGGGATGAGTCGATCGGAGGTGTGGAGGTTATATGATTGCTACAAGGGGTAATGGTGGAACATGATTAATAAACCCGCCCTGATTAAAGACGTCCAGTTTCCCCAGACCATTTCCAGGCAATACTACTTTAAAGGCACCCACAAGGTTTTGGGGGGCACCTCCAAAACCCCCCCTGATTAAAGACGTCCCCTAATCTCCCAGAAAAAAATCCTGAAGCAGCAGGCAGCAGCAGCATCCTTTTCCTCATGACTCAGCCTGTCTGAAGAATTCTGTTTGAATTAGGCCAAGGGTTCCTTTTTTCTGAAAAGTTTGCATTCCCAAACAGCCAATTTCTTTACTGCATCCTGTTTAAGAAATGCAGGTTTGGCAAGGCCACAAAGGGTACCCCCTTCAAGGCCTGACCCCCCCTAATAAGAGAAACCCCCCCTGATTAATCAAGGGGGTCCCTGTCCCTCCTCAAACGCCACAACCTGGCCCCAGCAATTGGAAACCTAAAGGGCTACTACTCAACAGATACTACCAGAAAATTCTATTTAAATTTGGCCAAGGGTCCCTTTTTCTGAAAAGTTTGTCTTCTAAAACAGCAAGTTGCAGGAGCCTGGCAGCTGATCAGAAACCTCAAGCCTCCAAACCTCCATCCTCAAGCTTCTCAAGCTTCAAGTCCTGCAGATCAATTATTAGGGGGAGGCCCCAGGGCAACCCCCAAAATCTGATTTTCTCATCCCAAACCTTGTCAACCTTGGGGGCGGGGGGCGGGTTTATTAATCAAGTTCCACCATTACACACTACCTTAGAAGCTTGTCGTGGCGGTAAATGTCAGCATCCATCCCTTCAAAACCCACTGGAAAGTCCCTTAACAGTGGGGTGAACATGGGGCTTCTGGTGTCCCAGTTGTTTTGTTGCGCAATCTTAGCCAAAAACTAGTTGGAAGTATCTTACAATCTGGGACGCCCAAAATGGTGGTGTTTTCCTTTGGTTCCCTTTTACTTTTAAGCCATCCCTGAAAAGGGTCCACCAAAAAAGACAGGCCCAGCTAGCATCCGACGCCCCCTCCCAGCGGTTTGTTTGATTCCTAGTGTTCCGGATGTACCTTGCCTGTGGCAAGTAGCAAGCTCCTGCGGCCTGATCTTTCAGCATCCAGCGAGCTTCCAATGAGTGCATTTCAGTTCCTGCGGACAAAAGGGGGTGGCCTCGTGCTTGGTTTTGGCACGGACTCGTATGTTTCTATGTGTGTTTTTCCTAGGATACCTTTTTCAGCGAAGGGTTTCCAAAAGGTGTCAAGTGACACCAAGAGGCGAACCCGCAGGTGGTTCGTCTTTTTTTCCGGTTCAATACCCGGAGATCCGTCTTGGCTTCCAATGAGGACAAAACCGCTCAAAACTGGGTCCAAGACCACTCAAAACCGCTCGAAACCGCTCAACACCGCTGAAAGCTGCTGAAAACCACTGGGTGCTAAACCACTCCAAACCACTCAAAACCACAGGGTCGCCCACTCGACTTGGTCCTGAAAGCCCACTTTACCCCCCGCCCCCCGCCCGGGTCGCAGCAAACCGGCAGTCGCCTCGTGAGGTCAAACTGCCGGGTCGCTGCACCATGCAGGCGCGGTTGACCTCAGAAGTCACGGCACCGGCGGAACCAGGGGCTCGTTTTCGAGCGGGTACCCCAAGAACCCGAGACATGGGCTGATCAAACAATTCTTCATATAACTGGCAACCTGGTTCTTGGGGATCTCCCGCCATATCTCGGTGGTGGTCCCCGTCCATCCTATGCGCTTGTGCGCCTTGTGCTGTCCATAGTGTTGCCCGATTTTTCGGGGGTTATCCAAGTCCTGGACCCTCAACCCCGGACGAATCCACCCCGGATGGTTTTTGGTCACCTGACCAGATTCATCTTTCCACCCGCCTCCTTTTGGGGGGCTTCGGAGGAGAATATCTCCAGCGCTGCCTCGGTTGGTGGGGACCTGCTGCGGGCGAAACGCGCTAGGAGCTCTTGGAGTACTCCCGCCGCAACACGGCGGTGCAGGGCGGCAAGCGCGCGGCCTCGGGGGTGGGGGGGGGGGGGGCCAGGACGAAGCGGAAAACCGGGGGGGGGGGGGGGGTTATATGTTTGTGGAAAAACGTGCGCACGGCGATGGAAAACGTGGAAAACCTGGAAATTTGGGTTTGTCTTTGTGAATGAATCGTTGGTTTCCCCTTTTATATTGACCCAACTGGGGTCAGAGAAAGACACCCCCCATTCAGGGTTGCTTCTTTCTGTGATACTTCCAAAAGAACTGGTGGAACATGTAATGTGGGCGAAATTGACAAAGTACGGGAGTGGGAAGCCCACATCGGTGGCACTAAGGTGTATGTGCACATCCTTCGCCTCTTGTGCATGGAGTGCTTTTGTGCGGGCTGGATGCTAAATAGCCAGTACGTTTTAGTGCCCAAAGGGAAGCCTAATTAAAGGGGATAGTTGTTGTTCAATTTGTCCAGCCCCCCTATTTAGCACCCAGGTAGTCATGATTTCCAGTTGCCAGCTAGTTTCGAGACATGTCTCAATCATGTTGTGTTTTGATCCTAACCTCCAGGCATTCCGTGTTCTCCTATTTTTCTTTGTTGTGTGTTCAGGGCTCCTTAAAAGATACATGTTGCCCATTTGAAAAATTGATGTTTCCACCAAAATAAAGGGAAACAATGTTCAGGTATATAGGTGTTCCATTCGATATCATTTCTTGTGCTCCCCTTTATGCCTACATTTTGCTGATATGAGCGGCCAACAACAGCGTTGCAACGGATGGATATGAGGGGGCGTCCCGTTCAGACTCGTTTCCAACAAATGGTGCCCTTGCTTCCTTTCTTTTCCATAGAAACGCACTGGGGATCTCGGGCAAGCTTCACAACCACTTGGTTTGAACCTGCCAATGGCCATGAATTTTAAAGCAGGCGATATAAGGCGATCATCTCCAAGGTGCGTGAATCTCCAACCTGATGTCCACCAAAGGGTCCAAGCCCATGCACATCCACATCCAAATGTGTGTATGTGTCTCATTAGAATATACGGCTTACCCGAAAAAAAGAAGAAGGAAACACAAGGAGAAGATGTGTTTCCTTTGCTATCTCCAAACATGGCTCCCCCAATATGCTCTTCTTACCAACTAGTGGTTACTCCAAAAACGGTGTCCTTCTTAAGCCACGCCCCGGAAAGGGCACCGAGCCTCCCAAAAGGAGAACACCGAGCCGCATCCTAAGGCGCGTGACCTCTCAGGATGCCGGCGAGGCGATCTTGACCGGGGAGGGGGGGGGGGGAAACCATTTGTTTGGTCTGTGTGGAGTCCAAAGGTTTCTGTGGTGTTGTCCATTTTTATGTTTGGATGATGGTGCGTTTCTTTTGGGGAACACCTTTTTGGGGGCAGTTTTCGAAGGATCACTTTTAGGTTTGGTTCATCGAAGCTGGATGATTGTGTTTGACTTTTTGGGGGGAACACCTTTTTTGGGCAGTTTTGTGAAGGGACGTCAAAAGGAAAACCGAGGCCATTTTGGGCGGAGCCCTAAAAAGACACACAAATGGGTGTGTCTTAACATATAGGGGATCCAAACAGTGGATGGTGTCCTTTTGGTTTCCCTCTAAAACCATGCAAACAGGGTACCCTCAAAAGAAGCCACACCCAAATGGGTATCTGGACAAATTATCACAACGTCACGAGATGCAGCGTCACCCATCATAAAAATGTGATTCATGGGAATCCTTCATTTTCGCTGGGGTTGGCGCCTGCAGCCGTACTTTGCCGCCTGAATACCAGCCCAGTACATGACCGCTTTGCAAAGCACAACGCTTTCACGAGGAAGACTAATTTGCCCAGATGGGTATGCGTCATGCGGCATTGGTTTCCCTTGAAAGCAACCTGAAAAGGGTACGTTGAAAAGTCACAGACTCAAATGGGTGTGGGTCAAAATTCAACCACCAGGGGACCGCAGGTGTCCATGTTTCCATTTTCCAAGGTTCCATTTTGGGTACCTAATCTTGACCCACAGCCAAATTGAGGGGACCCCACAAACCGTCGGTTTCCCGTGGATTTCGCCGTCAAAGCGACCTGAAAGCCACGCCCCGAGTGGCCTGTCGCGCCTTGCGGTTGCCTTTGGTCAGGGAAGCCAAACGGCAACCTCTTCGGAGACAAATCCAAGCTATTTGGAGACAACCCCTGGTGTACCTGGAATACATGAAATACGTCCTGGCGCAGAAACCGGACCAAGTGTCCACAGGTGGACAGGTGTCTTCATATTTCCCTTACCCAGCAAACTCTGTTATTGCACAATTGACATGTTTTCCCTTTTGTAGCCGACAATTCACGTGGTGTCCCTCAAATAAATGGAACCCGGGGTTCCCTATATCTGCAAATCAAATGTCCATTTCGGGGTTCCGTTTGCCAGATCGCCAGGCAGAGTCCACGCTTGCCAAGGACCTCACAACCGAAAACCGGGTAGATGAGGGATGGGGGGTTCAGATTCTAAGTGGGCCTGCCTGTTTTGGTGGATACCCTTTTTGGGGTGGGTTTAAAAGGGAACCAAAGGAAAAAGCCGCGATTTTCTTGCTGGTGCGATAGGTAGGGAATGAGAAATGAAATGAACCTGGGCTTCCGTCCCCGAATAAAGGAAACCACCAGTTGAATCTTCTAAGCATTCTGTTTTGTGTTGTGGTTGCATGCTAATTTGCCGCAGCTTTACGAACTTCGAGTTCTTGCAGCACCCAAAACACCCCCCAATGGGGGCCACTCTAAGGCAGGTTCTAGCTGGCTTAGGGCTAGGCATCCCTGCATCCTTTATGTCAGGTCACCCCTGGTGGTTTGGATCCGATCCAAACCGGTGAGGGCCAAGCTGATGATTTCCAGTTTGGTAGAGCCAAACGTCAATGGCTGTACCGGGCGCTCACAATGGGTTTGTCTCGGCCAAGTATCCCGAGTGACACAACATCTCACCTCGGTGCTTTGGGCTTTATATATTCTTTCGGGGAAGACCAAGTTGGCGGGAAACCGAAAACAACGGACTTTGTTGAGCAAGTCCACTCAGGAAGTGAGGAATCAACAAGCCAATTGGCATGAGTTCTGTGAGTGCTTACTTGGGCCCAAATGTTGACCCCACATTAATCAACCCCAGTTTATTAATAGGGGGTGTTCCCCTCCAATAGTCATGATTTCCCACTGAACCCAGGGACACCCCCGTATTTTAAGAAAACTGGGGTTGATTAATATGGGGTCAACATTATAGGGGCTGATTTGTTTCTTGTGTCAACATTGGTGCCTTTCTTTGCAGGAGCGGGATTTGCAGATCCAGCGGAGCCCCATTCTGTGACTCGGCATGAGAGGTCCGGCCTCAAATCCGTGCCGGGCCATGTTTTCAGAGTCTTTTAGGGGGTGTGGTTTTTTTGGAGGGGTTCCCGAAGGAGCCTGAAGATTTTTTCCAGATCCCCAATGAACCCCAGGGCTAGGGACTGTTGAGGAACCCCTTTCGGCTCTCAGTTACCCACCCTACCTAGCCCCCGGATAGGTTGCCATACATTTTGGAGGGTTGTGCGCAGTCCCAACCATAAAATTGGCGCGGATGTCCGCGTAGTTTCTTCGCATGGATTTGGGTGGACCGTTCAACACCAGGCTGCGCGCCTCGTGTGGATGTTTGAGGTTTGGTCCAAATTTCCTAAGTTGTCTATGGTTCATCTAGGGCTCGGAGCATGCAGGGGCGAGCTCTTTGTCCATCACAAAAACACCAGGCTCACTCACTACATTCCCTTTGGTGCATTTTGCTTGGATGTTAGGACTTTAAACTGTTTGCCAACTAATGGGTTTTCCATCAAACCACTAAAAGTTAAGCTTTTAGAAGGGGAGCAGAAAGCAACCGAGTCCCCCACGTCCTCTGAGGGAGACAAGTCATGTTGACCGCGCTTACATGGCGGCTTAGTACGACTGGGTTCGGCCAATTCGGACAGCTGCAGCCGCTATGGATCGACAAGGAGTTGGGGGGTTGGGCCCGGATCATCTTAGGTCCAAAAGACCATAGAGATCAACATGGCGTGTGAAGATCAGGCGTACCCGCAAGAAATGAGTGTGGGTTTGTGTGGCTTTTTTAGGGGACCCTCCCCCCTTAAAACACAAAATCAAGATTTTCATGTTGGTTCCCCTTCTTGGACAGCCTAGGAGAAAGGATCACCCTCCAAATGGGAGCACCGTCGGGGTTCTAGCACAACGGTTGATCCGGTGTGTTTCAAAATAGGACCCCCAACCAAAATGTATTTGTTTTGTTAAATGTTATTTTCCTTTGCACCAACCTGAAGTGGGTACCCTCAAACAAACCCACATAGGCCAACGGTAGACTTGTTATGTAAGGGTACAGACTGAAGGGACGAGATTGGCCCAATTGTTCATGTACTCACTGGGTCCCTTTTTCGGCAGAGGATTGTGCCAGTCCAGGACATCCCCCCCCTCCCCCCTGGTCAGCTTCCCTGTAAGTGGGTAGTTTAGGACAATCCTGATTTCAAGTACCGGACCATGACAAAGACCACAACTGGCTTTTACTCACTTCCTGAGTTCATGAACTTGAAACTTTTTGGGAAGACCATTTAGTGGTAAATACAATGTTCGGGCTTTGTTTGGGCCATCCACTCAGCCAGTCAGTTAACGAAGTGGATGGCAGGGTACCGCAAGAACAGATCCCCCTTGTTGATCCCATCGCCTTGCAAGGAACATGATCCGCAATCCGCGGTGTATGTGCGCCGCTCAGCCGCTTCGCATCTTACAAGCACGTTGACAAAGTAGCAAGAAAGTCATATGGCTGTGGGTCAACACCAATGGTACCATTTTGGGGGTAGGTGAATTCACCACCCATTTTAGTCTATTTTAATGGGGATTGGGATGTTCACTGGCGGTACGGGATTTTAACGCATGGCCATATTTGAGGCAACCTCAACATTATCGTAGATCACTTTAGTCAAAGCATGGAACATGGTAGGGACTCACTAAAGGTTACATGAATACAGGCCACACAAGAGATGTTCAGGCTAACAATGAAATACACAAATCCCTTTGGAATACTACTGGAAATGCATACCATCAGCAAACGTGGTTTGATGTCCCTTTTGGATTACTACTGTTTGGAAAAGGGACCCTGTGCTGTTCCTTTTTTGGGGAGCGGAGAGGGGAGAATACAGAATGAACATGCGCTACCCTACGGGTCCTGGGGCTTGGTATGAACCCAGGGGTGCCCGCACCACACCCCAAGTTGCTTTTACCAAATGTGGTTTTCCACCCCAGAACACCACCAAACCAATTCGGCTCCAAAGCACTCTTTTTGAGGCAAGCTAAAAGTCGGGGTTTCTGGGAAAAGTCCCAACCCATGCCTGCAGAAGCCATCCTTTGTCTTTTCTGGGTGCCTTCCCTGATTGGGAAGCAGACGATCGGGTTGAGAAAGACTACTTCTGCATTTGGGGAAGCCGCCGATCGTCTTCCATGATTGCCGGAGGGTAGATACCTTTCGAAGGGCACAGTGCAAAACACGTCGAATATGCATGGATATGGATCAAATCTAAACCACCAAACGGCCGCAGAAATTTTAGTCCTTTGTTGCATTTACCAGGTTGACTCACAGCCATATTGCAAGAATTCTCGAGGGTTTAGGGAAATCTGTTTCAAAAGGGTCTCTTTATTTTCCTGTCAACAGACAGGCCCGAGTAGAACGTGGGACATTGTTTCCCTTTGGGGGTCTGGCAAGAAAGAGTACAAGGTTATTGTCTAATGATACCAGATGTGACGTGCGAAAATTTCAGTCTGGCAAATTCTAGCACCCTCAAGGGTTTTCGCTGACGACCTGGGGCTCCAGAACGAAAGATCGTTTCACATAGATCCCTTATGTTCTACGGGTTGATTGCAACCATTATCGTCAATGCTTTGGGTTTTGGCTGGTGTCCTGAACAGAATGGGAAAAACACCTTAGAGTTTCTTCCTTGCCATCCAGATAGAGCAAATGCTTGGATGCTTCCCCGGTGTTTCATTGGATAACGCGCCCAGATCCTTTTTTTTTCCAGTGCCTGGCGCGCAGGTACTACATCCCACAAGAGGGTGGCAAGAACATCCAGAAGCAGCAAGGGCGCGGCTGGCGAGTTGGATGAGGGGCCCTTCCATTCGAAGTCGAAGAGTCCCTCCAACCCATCGACGCAGTCGTTGGGCGGAAGAAGTCGAGGGGTGTTTCGGTGCAACCTGAAGGCCGAGAACGACGTAGCTATGAGCAAAACAGGGTACCAGTTGGACCCAAGGTGAAATGAGGAGGGTTTAAGGATTCCCCAAAAAGCGGGTACCCTTATTCCAACCTCTCTACTGGATGACCTAGGGATGTTTTTAGGGTTTAATTGCGGCTTCAACCCTTTTGTACCAACCCATGGTGCCTGAGTCCGCGGCTGTTTCCGCAGAATTTTTCGGGCCAGACCCGTTTAGAGATCTGCGAGGGTCAAAGGGCACGCGCTCGCGTACCAAGTCAGGGCTCCTATATTTGGGCTTGTCTCTTAATGAGGAGACCCCAAAAGTGTTGGTTTACTTTTGGCTTCCCTTTGAAACTGACCACAAGGTGGTGCCCCCAGAAATGAATTTCTGGGGTATGTCAATGTGTTTGTCCAACCCCCCACCAATTGATCACTGTTCTAGAGTTTGGCAAATGGGTCCACAGCACGTTGTGGTTTAGCAAAACAAGGATCCCGTATGTGCCACAATTTCGGGACTGTAACGGCATTGTTTGTTCTTTTAGTTTTGCTTTGCACCAGCCTGGAATGAGTACGAACTCGATTTGGTATTGGGTTTTTGATGTGTTCCTTTGCCTGGGGCCAAGTTATCCTAGGGTGGGAGCAACCCTGAGTTTGTTGAAATAGTACCCCGAACATAGGCTTCCCTCTAGTTTCCCCTTTAAAGCAACTCCAGAAGGATACTTTCAAATGGGTATGGGTCAAAATTAAACCACCAGCATATGGACAGCAGGTTTCAGTCCATGTGTCCATTTACCAGGGCAAGCCATGTTGATGTTCACCTTTTTTCGACCCACACCCAAACTTTGTAGGAAACTTGTACATTGACGACTTCAGAATTTTGTTTTTCCCGTGCCGGTTTTAAAAGGAATTTATCACTACTGGAATATTGTTTCTTTTTCCAGGGGTCTTAACCAAATGGAAGACGACCGCGCGCGCTAGGAGAGTTTTGCCAGGCATCGCTCTGAGCTGGACGTGGGAGAGCAGGACATAGAGAGCCCCTTCGGCTGACATGCGACCAGGGGTCACTCATGCTGTGGATGGATGAATTCCTGCGCCAGCGTTTCAAAAAAAAGCTAAAAACAACTGTGTTTGCCTGTTTCGTACCACTGTTCCCGCAAAAAAAAGCCTAAGACGCCTGGAAGTTGGAATTGTTGGGTGAAATGATTCGATTCCCCAAGGTAAATCCCAACAAACGTTATGGTGTCAACCATGGATTCATTTCGTGGTGCGAACGAATTGTGTGTGACTCACAATCAGTTGGCATACCCAACGATAGGTAGAGTTAGCTTGGAGATTTCCCAGGAAATGGGTCGGCCACACTTCGGGGTGCTTTACTCGGACAAAACAACCAACACGGGTCCATCAGGGCGGTGTTCCCCTCCAAACGAAAGGATGCCCTGTGAAAATGGGACACCCGCCCCCCTAACTTCTCAACTAGGGGGTTTGTTGATCCTGGGGTCTCAGTACCGAAATGAACGAGGGATATGCTGCAGACCTTTGGATATCCGAAACATGCCACTCATGTGGTCAGCAAATGCTCGTTCTATAGGACCACAAGACAGCAACGATGTAAAATCACCCTATTTTCACTTGGGTGGTTTGGGAGGGTTGTGGAATTCCTCTTGGTCCGGTTGGCCGCGCTCGGTTCGCTTCATGATCTGAAGCGGGCAGCTCGAGGGGTAACACAACAAATCCCAGCATGGGGTTATAGGGATCCATGATGCTTGATGAGTGAAGGATGTTTCGTCCAGATGTCCCTGGTTTGGCACAGGCTTCCTGCTTCCTTATTCCAAGTTGTGGCATTGCCACATATATTACTTGGTGGTTCCCAGCCATCCCCTTAGCTTTTTAGCCTTTTAGTGTTTAGTGGGGATTTCAATTTAACTAGATGATGTTCCGGAAATCGGTGTCTACATCAACCAGGCCATGCAATAGTTTTTAATTGCTGAGTTCATGAAAATTAAACTTTTGGGGAAGACCATTTTAGTGGTAAATATAAAGTTTGGACTATTTTTGGGCCATCCACTCAGCCAGTGAGTTGAAGGAGTACTCCGAAGGCCGCGACATGTTTCCTCGTTTACCACTGCCGCCATGTTGCTGGGACCCCAAAGCCGTTCTTCCCCCTCCCCGCGTCGTAGTGAAAGACTCCCCTGAACACCAATGAGGGATATTGTTTTACCAAAAAAACAACTTAAGCAGCTGGTCTTTGGAAGGGTGCGATTCAAGCCCTTGTTTAAACAAAAGAAACCACCAATCCGATGAAGCAACCGCCTTTTGGTTTCCCTTTGAAGGCGGAGGGGTGGTTGAAGCACATTTGGTCCATCCCTGGTCCATCCCTCCGAGGCGACGGAGAGGGCGACATGGACATGTTGGGCGACGACACGGGAGGAGGCCGTGTCGGATCTGTCCAACTCAAAACCTGGGTCCTTTGATGTTAACAGGTGTTTGTGGTTTGTTTCTTGGTGGTTCCCAGCCATCCGGTTCAACTTAGCTTTTTTGGCCATGTTTCGTCGGTTTAGTGGCTGGTTTTCCGTATTTTGACCCACGGAGAGTTAAACTTTTAGCCGGGGATCTGAGGACAGCCCAGGTTTCTTGAGGGTACCTGGACCCTCCAACTACCCCTTAAAGAGAAGCCAACCCAGGATTTTAGGGCAATAGCCCATTCTGTTTACCTGGACCCTCAAACTTCCCCTTAAAAAAAGAGAAGCCAACCCAGGCTTTTTGGGGCAATAGCCCATTTGTAAGGGTATGTTGAGGGTCCAGGTACTCCTTTTGCAGTGGTTTTAAAGGGAAACCACACGCATAGTATTTTGTGGGGTACCCCCCCCCATTTTGAGGCAAGCCCAAATGTTCCCATTAAAGGGGTGGTTTTAAACATCACCTGTTGGACCTTTTCTTTACGGTGAGCTTCCTGCGGGTTGATGTCATTTCCGCATGTGGGTGTTGGGATTGGTTTTGTTCATTCGCCAGACAATACCAATTCTTCCATTTGCTTAGGAGTAGTTTTTATTTCCCCCTGTTGGTTTCAATGGGAATCTATCACTACTGGAGATGTTTTTTTCCAGGGAACTTAAGCAAGTGGAGGCAATTCGTTTCATGATCAATGGCTTCATTTGCGGTCAACGGAACTTCTTTCCAAGAGATTTGAAACTGGCCTTTTAGGGGAAACTGGTGGGAACAAAAGCACTACATAACCACTACCTTCCGTCCCCAAGACACTAATGTCAGGTTATGTCGATCGGAGGGAGGGTATACCAGGGTATATCGCCTTTTCGCTTGGATCATTTGGTTGGTGGGGGCAGTGGTTGGCTTAAAATGAAACCAAAGGGAAGCCACCCATTTTGCGCATCCACCTGTTTTGACACCTACCCCCCCCCCATTTACAGGACATGCCAATCTGACGTGCTTCCAGCTCAGCAATGCAGGGGTAAAACGAGCGAAAGCCGTGATGTAAGGTCTTTACTTGGGGATCCATGTCTCATTTCAGGTTAGAAATAATTGTGAAATATGACTCATATGACTTCCATTTGCTTAAGAATTGTTGTTATGTTATGTCCCTTGTTGGCTTTAAAGGGAATCTAGCAGGACTCTCCAAGGGGCTTAAGCAAATGGAAGATGCATATTCTATGCTCACGGCTCGCGGGGGCTATCAAAATCAGAAACCGGGGTGGTATCCCTTTGTTTTGCGAAATCAACGGGAACCCGACCTTTCGTAAAATCCCCCTAGTTGAGTCTGTGTTTTTGGAGAAAAACTACTTTGAGCTGGGAATCGGCGTCCTACCCGCAGGCGTCATTACCGGCGCCCCCAACAATGCGGAGCACATGTTGCAGATCGTCACCGCGCAGCGCTGGCCTGCTTCCAATGGGGCTCCGGATGTCCAGGGGCTCCTGTACATCCCAAAACCACCTGAGCCACTTGCGCAAAACCCGGGGATTGATGAAGGTTAGTAAGGAACAATCCCCTTGCCATACATAGCTGCGGATCTCTGCCTTCTTAATTCTTTACATGGTTCTGGGTAGACCATTTACTACCGGGTTTCGATCGTGACTCACCTGCTGCTCAATTTCTCTAAGCCAACTCGAAAAGGTGATGTTGCAGCTGGTAGTGTATCCTTTGAGACACGCAGCTGAATGTTGCTGTGTTTCTCGATGCAATCAAAAGCACAGCCAGCATTGTGGGAGGGTGCCCTTTTTAGTGAGGGGCAATCATGTTTCATGGTGAATTTGGAGGGGAGAACATGGAGCCCCCGTTCTGGGGTCCGATTCCCAAAACAGATTCCTCTAAAATTGGGTGGGACATGCTGTGGATGGACGAAATCCTGCACCATTTTGTTGGTATTTGCAGGGGAATCATCAGAAACCAGGGTTTCTTAGGTTGTGCGAATGGATTTCGCCCATCAGTTTAGCTCCTCAACGGCCACTGTTGACCTTGCAGATCGTGTTTTTTGGCTTTCCGCTTGTGAGGCCCAGTGATTCCATGTGTACAACCGTGGGAACCAGGCGGTATGATGCTGTACGTCCAGAAATTGGTTTGGATGTGGCTTTTGTGGATCAATCGCTGTAGGATATTAAACGAGTACTAAAAAAGTACTAAACAGGAACCAGCAGGGAGGAAGAGCAGGTGAAATCCACCAAAGAGGCATTCAAACCATTTGCTAGAGCATGTCTTTCCTAAGGGCTCAAGGAAATATGGACAGTGCTCATCTCAGCAGCACCATTCGATTTGTCGAAGCACCATTCAATCATTCAAGATTTAACAGAAACACAAACCCAAACAAACACAGACACACACACACACACCAGATGGCGCTCAATCAACAACTAAAAAACAATCAACAACTAAGAAACACAGTCAACACCACACTCAACCACGGGAAAGTCTATGTGTGTAACAAAAGGCCCCGTTTCCCTTGTTTCCCATGCCCGGGCTTGCGCCTCAGAATTCCAGGATGCAGATGAAGCAAAATGAGCGGGTCATCATGGACGAGTCCTCCGACGATGAAGGCAGGAACTCGCCTCGGAATCTTCGGCTCGGGTCCGTTCTTGCATACCAAAGAAGTAGTAAACCCCTTGTTGATTTTGATCAGCACATCTTCCCTTTCAGTGGGGGTTCATCACTTTTTTGGGTGACACTACCCTATGAATAGCACCGGTGTATGAACCCGGGGTCAACATCAATCTCAACCCCGGTGATTTTGATCGGGGGGTGCCCTTTGGAGTGGGAGTTCGCATTGCTTTTTCGTGTGGGTGACACCCTTGCAATTGGTAGCCTGAGTTTATTGCTCCGTGGTCAACATTCAGGCACTTGTTGAATGCGCTAGTAAAGGTGGTACCAGTACATGAAAATTCGGTTGAGATGAGCCCACTTTCTCGGGATGACACAGGCAGCAGTCAGCAATGAGGCGGTTTAAGTTTCCTCCATCCCAACAAGTTCAGGATCGTGGCCCTAAACGGCTTTGTTGACCACTAAATTCCTCCTTTTTGAGTGCTCATCCTCGGCTTGTGTTGTCATTCCCGCCTTCTTGTGCGACCCACCACTTCCCATGATGAACATCCTTCGGTGTTTGGTTGATGGTGCCTGCTTAGCATGGTATCCCATGTTCAGAACTTGGCAACTGGGACCTGCGGGGTGAAACATGGCATCAGACTCTCGGTAGATGTGACAAGCAAAGGACGTGACGAAACCATACGTTTACCCAACTCCAAGTCAAGAGGAATGGAAGGCAACACATCTTTCTAAAACCTCTTGATCGCATATTTGGAGGTCCTGCTACCTGTTTGTATGATTTGTGGTAAGCCCCCGCTTGAGCATGTTGGTTTTCAGGGACCCGAATCTATCCCTGCAAATCCGGGCCTGTCAAGAATATCCTCAAGGGAGAGCCTCTGAACCCAAGAAAGGTCACATACATATGGGTTCGTCTTTTTTCGAGGGACCTTCTTTTGTGTTTTTTTTTGATTGGCCGAAAGGACGCTCATTCTGGCAGGGGTGTGTTCCATGCTTGAGACAGGCCCTTGTCTTTTTGGGAGACCACTTCGGGGGCAAGGGCACCGTTTGGGGCAACCATCGGCGAGCTGGGTGAGTGGAGTGCCTTGTCCGAGGTGCGGCGTCCGACTCGGACCTGGCGCTCTCGGATGGCGGGGACCCGAAGCGGGTGTGCCTTGAGTTGGGTCAGTTGACCCCGGATGGAGCAGAACCCCGACTTATTAATATGGGGGTGGTTTTTGTGGCTTTAGCGGGGATTCAGACCACTTTTGGAGGGGAACCCCTGTTTATATAATTTGTTTTTGTTTTCTTCCTGTTGTTTTTGGCTTTGGTGGGGATTCAGAACTTGGAGGGGAACCCCATAATAATAAACAGGGGTTGATGAATCCGGGGTCAACATTGCCCCGTTTTAGGGATTGGGTTTACCCTATGGTCCACCAACATGGAAGCACCCTGGTCTTTTATGGTCTTTTGGGGAAGCAGTAAAGATGAATGCCCCAATCTTGTGGTTCTTTCCGGGAGGAAGGATTCGGCAAATGGGCTGCCATATCTCTTACTGGTTCTGAACGTATGGAACCGCAGGAACCTACAAAGACGTGCTTTGCCACCAAGAGCATGGTTGGCTTTGGTTCTTCTTTCCAGATCGGGTCAATTATCCTACTCCAAAATGCGACCATTTCAATTTGCTTCGGGTACATACTTCTAGCAGACTACTTTCAATGGGTCAGACAAGTTTGAACATGTATTTCTCAGGAATTCCCTAATGAGAGCAAGGAAGTTTGCTACTGACAGCTTTGGGCTTCTTTGTCGAGACATTTGTACGTTCCCCGGCGCGGGACTTGAGGCCCAGTGTTCCCTTGTGGCATGGGTTCAGTTTGGTTCTTGGCGTGTTGCATGTGACTTGACCTACCGTTCTAGCTGGTTGCCGTTTTGGGTGCCCTTCAGAAGTTGTCTCTTTCAACCACCAAAGTGTGGTCACTTCAGGCCTTTGACTCGTCTGGCCCAGGTGAGCTTGCAAAGAAGTTGTTTGCCATACCAAGGGTTGCCATGAGTGTCCCCTGTTGCCCTTTTTGCCCCTTGCCCGTGATGAGGCGTATCGGCACATCTGCACCCCCCGAACTGAAAACGGAGGCTCACCCCTAAGCAGAATTACAAGAGTCTAGAAAGCAAATCTTGGTGGCTCCCAGCCATCCCCTTAGCCTTTTAGCTGTTTAGTGTTTAGTGGTTGGATTTCCGTATTTAACCCACAAGTTAGTCACTGTTAGCAGGGGATCCGAAAACGGACGGCCCAGAAATTACAGTTAAGCAGAATTACAAGAGTCCAGAAAGCGAAACTAAGCAAATTACAGTTTTCAGCAAGCAGATTCGAGGAGAATCAGACAGAATTGCCCTTGCCGCTTTCGCCTTAGGCAGCCCCCACTCCCACTGATCCGCTCGGAGCGAGCACGCGCGATGGGATCTGTTGGATCGCACGGTTCGGTTTCCCCGAAGCGTGGCGAAGGCTTCCTGTCAGAAAACAAATGGGTGAATATGGCCATGGGTCAAAATCCAAATCGTACCCCCGGTGAACATCCCGATCCAACAACTAAAATAGGTTCTAAAATGGGTGGTGCACGTACCCCAAAATGGCACCATGGGTTTTGACCCACAAACATATGTCAATAGGGAACTTTCGGAACAGTGGGTGGTGGCCATGCATCCCCACCCAAACGATGTCCACCAAATTGTATGACGAGCGAATCAACCCAAATCATGTAATGATGTGCGCCACATGTTATGGCGCGCTCACCGATTCGGGGGCAGATAAGCTCTTGATTTTGTGGGGATCCCTTGAATGGTGTAAAATGTGTGATTTGGGTGGTGAGTGCAACTGAAGCCTGGATCTTACACGCAGGGCTTACTAAATATGCACCGCATGTTCTTTTTGCTCTGGGCGAGGGAAGCTGAGGTAGATTTGGGTGGTGAGTTCAAGTGGTTTTGGAGGTCGAACAAATTGTTGAGTCAAGAGCAAAAACAACCGAGAATAACATGCCTCGCATCAGATTGGTGTTTCCAATGTAGGAGAACATGACATATATGAGAGAGATGCATGTGCGCTTTCTGATATTATATTTGCTCTGTTTGCGGTTTCTTTTCCTTCAAACTCCATTCGAGGGGGAGTAAGTCAGGAAGGGTCTCCCCCAGTAGTTTGGACGCACCCAGATGATTTTGGAGGGCACACAGCAGAGTTGAAGAGCATGCAAAGCGACCAAGCAGCGCACAAACAAGGCCAAATATAGGTGATTCCAAATTCAACATCTGATCCGAGAAAGGGAGAACTGACCATTCCTTAACGCAGAAACACACACAAACACACATATAGCCATGCCCAGACTTCGAGTGTCTGACCCATGCCCTTTTGGCATAAAGGGGTTGGGTGTTTGTATTCGGTCATTTTCAGGCGCCTATGGCAAGCTTCAAAGTTCCCTTGCTTGTTCTTTGACCTGTTACCCTTCGGCTTGGACTCTGATTGGTTCCCCACTGAGGTGCGAGTGTCCTTTGCAATGTTGGGCGCATCCATAGCAGAAGGCCGAAGCTTTTTCGCAGGTTTGGATCCTTCAAGACCAGTTCTATGATAGAAGGGGCCTCTTGTCCGGGCTGCGATTTGAAACATCGTGTCCAATCTGAAGTTTGTAAAGGGAAACGATTTCTGAGGAAGCGTAGTTTTCTGGGCCAACTATGGCGTGCTCCCAAAGGGTTTGGTTTATGATCGGGGCCCAGGATGACGTCTCCTTTCACAGGGTGTTTCCCTGATTTTGGGAGACGAAGTCGTAGGATATATACCTAGACCCTTTGTGGGTCTTTTGGCATGAATCCCCCCTTTGGGGGGGAGTCCCCCTATGTTGATGCATTCCCATTATATGCGGTAACTTTTGGCCGGAGAACATGTAGAGGTCGAGGCGGTCCGATTGGGGGTTACAAGGGAAATCCTGTGGGTGCTTGCCAAGGTGTTGGAATTTGTTCATCCCTTGCTGTAACTGCTGTTAATCATTGCAATAATTATAACCTACATTAAATCAGAGTGTTGTTATTATCGCATCCCTCCAGGTCATCATTGTTAGTCATTGACCCATTACTTATAACCTGCATGAATTGGATTTTTAGGTTTTGGTATAGTTTGTAGGCAAATCGATCCCTTGAGTTCCTCCACTCTGGATCGAGGGATTCCGAGCGCAGCACCTGGAGCTTCACCCAAAGGGTGACCAGCGAAGGGAGGCGCAAAAAAGGCCGGGCGAGCGAGTGGCTGACGTGGCTTTTTTTTCTCCAGAAGATCTTAGAGTCACTCTTCAATGAATCCCCACAAACTTGTTTTCAAGGCCAGGCCTTTATTGGAATGCTTTTGCACAGATGTTCTCGATGACTCACTTTCTGAGTTCTCGAATAGCCCATATTGTTATTTGTCCAAAGGGAAACCACAAGGGGAAGGACCGTTTGGAATCCCTTTGCTTTGCAGGTTCATGAGCACCAGCAAGTGCAGGATAATTACTGCAGAACTCCGGAATGGGCAAGTGGAAACAACCAGCCCCTTCACCGCACACACACACACACAAACATGGCTGCGGGTCAAAAATAGGTTCTGAAAATGGAACCCTGGTAGATGGACACACATAGGCTGAAACCTGCGGTCCTCGAGGTTTGAATTTGACCCATATCCAAAGCCTCTAAATGAGTTGTACTTTATATCATTTCTGGTGCAGGGGCGGGTGGTGATTTCGCCCTGGGGTTCAAACCACCATCTAAAACAACGCGGGGTTATGTGACCACCATTGTTCACCGTCCAGGATTGTCATCATCCAATTTGGGTCCTTGCCTTGCTTTTCATGGGGCGTGAGCTATATATATATATATATTATTTATTTATACTGGTAGGGTTGGTTAAGTTTTGGGAGACCTTGCGGGTTTCATGTCAATCAGGGAGCCGCAGCCGTTTGAAGCTTCAAGTCGCGCCGCAGGAACGTTTCTCGCCCCAGATGGCTCGTGGACGGGTGGTGCCACTTCTGCTGGTGCGGTCAGATGGGTCGGTCGCGACTTCCGCTTGCTGAGTTTCGCTTGGCATCAAAGTGGATGTGTTGGCTCGGGGGTGTATGGGGCACAGGCCAAATCACCGCAACATCCCAGAAAAACAAACCAAAATCATCGGAGTGAATTCTCCAAAGCGGATGTGAGCAACTCGCATTCATGATTCGTAGTCGACTGTTGGTTCGGGCAGCACATGGAGGGGGTTCACTCAAATTTCCCACCAGACGTTGACCGGCTTCAGCTTCCCCATGTCCTCTTCACCTGAAGGTAATCTTGTCCTATGGCAAGTGGGTCTGTCTTCCCTTGAAGATGAGGTTGGTGCTCAAGGGAAACCGCCAGGAAGCCATTGCAGAGACACCCAAGCAGACTGCCCTGAACAAGCCGCTTCCTTCTTCCCGGGGCCCTAGCCCTGGATTCCACATTCAGGTGATATATCACTTCTGCCTATTTTCTGTCGAACGTTGAATCGAGCGAAAGCAATGTCTTGTACTAGGATTTTCTTATCAGGCAGACTCACGGTTCCGGAAAATGGGGTGGCAAATTGTTGCGCCCTCTTAAAGTACCCTTTCGCCATCATCGGCTTGGCCAACTCATTTTGTGGACTCAAACCCTAACCCACCACCCAAGAAACGAAGGTTGCAACATATACCCTAAGTGTACCAGGAACCCCACTGCTTGATTTCCTGCCAAAAGGGACCCAACAACAAACCACGCTCCTACAGATTAACCTGGAACAATCGAAAAAAACATCATTTATTCTCCTTCAGTTTCAGATGAACCTGGAACCATCTAAACAGAATCAGTTCACCTCCGTGTGGCACACCCGTCCTTTTTTCGTTGGAAGTCGCTCGTTTTTTTGGACTTGCCCGAAGGCCCTGGGGGGTGACCCGGTGCAATGCCACCCGTAGGTAGTAGGGAGACCGAGCACCATTGTTTCGGGTTGCAACAAACCATTGTGGGTAGTTTGAGAGTCCAAGACCGTTTTGGCATACAACGGTCTTTTTGTTTGTATTTTAAACGAAGACCATTTGTTTCGCTGGTTCTCAGCAGTTGTTGGTCTATTTCGGGGGTTCCATGCCAACCAAAGCTCTCAGTGGGTTTTTTCCGCTCCAAAAATTCGCCAGGTGTTCGCGACCCTGGCCTGCGTGAACCAGCTCTTCTCCACCTTTGTGGCGCGGCTTTTCGCCGGTTTGCGCGTGGATCTTCGCGTCGACGTCGCTGGTTTCCTTGCGGCGATGTGGTGGACGTTTTCGGGTCCGTCCCATAGAAGGAAGCCAAAGTTGTTTGTTTGGTCTTTTCTCTATCTTTTGGTGGGTTGCTTGGAATGGTGAACAAATTCTTGGATGCGTCTTTTAGTTGCGTCCTTGAAAATGAATGATTGGGACGGGTGTTTTGATTTTTGGGCGGGCTCCCATCGCAAAATCAGAAGTTGTTTGTCGAAATGGGGATTTCAGCCCCCAGCACGGGTGGTTAGAACCTTTTGGTTCCCTTTGAACTGACCGACTTGCAAAGGGTAGCCTCAACAAAGCGCACCTAGCGAGGCTAAGGGCAGCCACATGGACAAACCCCGAGGAATTGGTCCCTAAAGTTTCAGAATCCATCTAGTGACCTTGTTTACCAGGAAAGGACTCGGCCGGATCTGACCTCTGGTTTCTTGTCCACGATTTGGTCCATGTTAAGTCAAGGTTCCAAAGGCTTATCCTTTTGTTTCCAGGTACTAACACCAGCGCAGCTTCGGTCCTAAGGCTGACTGCCATGGTTCCAAGTTTAAGGGGTTTCGGTTGAGATGTTCGTGTGCATGAGTATCAGGGATGTGCCATGGCAGGCGCCTGCTTTGGAAGTTCTCGAAGAAACACGGCGTGCGGCAAAAAGTGAGCCCAACCGATGTAGGAATGGTTCAGCACCGCTGTGGCATCAACCCGTTCAACATGAAATTCAAGAAACGAAGCTTCAGGCCAGCTGGTGGCGCTTGGTACAAGGGTAAGTGGTTGACTGCTGAGGCACCCAACGGAGCCCGCAAGATCAACCTTGGAAGAGATCCTGCACTCAGCATTCTTAGCTGGGACCAGACACGCCTTAAAGTTCTTTCGTGGAACCTGGGCGGCTTGCACAGCGCCTTGTGCGATAAACTTATGCGATGGCTGAGCCATACTGACTATGACATGTTGCTTGTATCCAAGAGACTCTGAGGAGAATCGGGCATCAGTAGAATTGGCATCAGGGTCTTGGCGCTGCGTGCGCAGTCGAAACCCTTCAAATAGCAGCGCTGGTGTTCTTGTCATGAGTTTCATTGAATAGGGCAACGGGCATCCAGTTTGCAGAGTTAGTTAGTCTGCGGCCGAGCGCTGCATGATGCGCATTCCGCTTGAGAGCTGCGACTTGGATCCGACCAACGTGTACAAGCATGCTTGGAACCCCAGTCAGGCAATCCGCCAGCAAGAAACTGCCAGAT